AATAGAAATTTTGAGAAAATCAGACGACAATGCAATAAAGATGCCAGTAACTGTATTTTATAAACAAATTATAAAAATCTGTTATTTAAAAAATATATTGATCTTAGATAAACCTGAATTCTATTAAATTTTATGACTTATAAATTCTAGTCATTTTTGATCTGAAAAGTAAGGTAAAGTTAGTTACTGCTTTATTCGTTGCGCATATCAAAATGTTTTTACCCATTAAATCGAATTCAAAGTCTGATATGTATATTTTTGACACTTAAATAATTAAACTGTTAAATATTAATAATAAAAGTAAATGATTAAAAAAAAACACAGCACAGTGGGGTCGCGGCATAGTGGAGACATTGCATAGTTAGGTCCAGTACAGATTTATTCTGACAGTGATTAAAATCACTATCATAAGAAACGCTTCGATGCAAATCTGTAGATAGTGTTTAAAAAATTCTAATAAATTTATGGACAAAAGCAACATCAACTTCTATTTCCTTAATTATACCCAGATTAGTAATTCTTTTAATTATATATTATATAATTTTTTAAATTAATTGTTTTAAAATTATTATTGATTTTGATTTTTAATATGTTAAAAGTAATCATTTTGAATCTACTTATTTTTTTCTTTTAAAGTGAAAGTTTTAATAAAAAAAAATGAAGTTACTACCATAACTTTTAGCTCAACTTGCAAGTTTGAAATTGACATTATTAAATAGAAAAAAATGAAATTGTTAAGATTAATACACAATTAGGAAATTTTATAATTACTATTTACAGTACATTTATCAGAAAAGTTCAATTTTTTTTTTTGCATTTTTATATTGTAATAGATCACTTAAATAGAAATCATAGTAATCATTTCTAATTAACTTTTGGTGTTTAAAAAGATTCTGCAATTGAAATATATAGAACTGAATTAATTTTAATGATTTACTTTAATTAAAAAAATCAATTAAAAAACAGTTGTTAAAAAGATTTACTCAATTGAGCGTATTATAATATTTGATTATAATTGTAAAAATCCATCGTTAAATTCAGGTGAAACTAAAAATCATTTTTTTTTTAAATTTATGATTTATATAGCAACATGTTACAAAAAAAATTGGAATATTATAGACTGGTAGTAGCACACACAAATAGATTTAAAAAATTAATAAATTACAAAGTAAAATTATTTACTATTGTAGTTGAATACTTTTATCATATCAAATCTAATTCGAAAATAAATACTTTAAGAATATTACAAATTAATGATTTTAATTGTTTGTATATAGAGTGATAACTTAAACTAAATACGAATTGTAATCATTTAATGTATCGTTGAAAAAAGTAGGTCTAGTGAGGGTTGGCAAAATAAATCGTAGCCACAAAAAGAACCACATAGTAAAATAATAATAACATGAATACAAATTTCTTCTCACGAGGGGAGACTATAATGATAGGATCCTTTATATTTATTGAAGTTATTGAATCTAAATGAGATAACTATCAAATGATTTAAAAATTTTATTCTATCTCAAAAAAAATGCAAAATATTCAATGCCACAGACGGATTTGAACCTGGTACCCTAAGCGTGAAAAACACAAGCGTTACTGATTCGGTAACTGTTCGTTGGTCTCATCGCATGAAAAAAATGGCTATTTAAGCCAACTCAAATTTAAAAATTACTTTTTTGATTTTAAAAAAGTAAAAAAAATTAATAAGTTTAATATCTTGTCTTATGAACTTTATTCTATGTCAATTAAGTTATATAATATTCATGAAAGTCAGTGTATTCCCCTAATAAGATATTTTAAAATAAAATAAAATACAAAACCTAGAATTTTAATAAAAAAATAGCATATTTTTGAATACGGTAGCCATTTGCGCATAGAAGATAGGTCGTCGGGACAAATTTTTTTTTTTCATTTTATAGTACATAAAATAAGCTTTAATTTGATATATGTTTAAAGGACGCAGTATTTCCGAATATTTTCAAAAATTAAGTTGAAAAAGTTAGTTTTTGTAAAAAAGTTGCTATTTTAAATCCCCCCCAATGAGCAGGTTAAGTGTAGATTTTCAAAAAAAANTCCCCCCCAATGAGCAGGTTAAGTGTTAGATTTTCAAAAACATGATATCAAATGAAAGGGAAATATCTAAGGTTTTAGTTAAAAAAAAATTATGTTGATATGTTTATTTTTGAAAAAGTTATGGAAGTTTTAAGAAAAAAATGACAAAATTTACCGATTTTTAAATTTGTAATTTTTTTGGATATTTCCCCCATTTTCGGGGAACGAGGGNGTAATTTTTTTGGATAATTCCCCCATTTGCGGGGAACGAGGAAAAATTTTTCAATTTTTAAGGGTAATGTCTTCAACTAGATACGATTTGTGATCTTTTGACGTATTGTTGAAAGAAATCGGTCCAGTGAGAGCTGAAAAAAAGTAGTGACAGACACAAAAAAAAAATAAATAAATAAACAAACATATCATGGTAAAATTAATACCTTCTCAACTTCGCATCGAAGCTAAAATTGTGTAATAATAATTATTGTTTTCAGTGCTAATGCAACATATCTGGTACAGTAATGCACAAAAGTTACATTTTTGACACTAGATGTGTTTTGTAAAGTTGTTGAATTATTTTTTCGGTTTACTCATAGTCGAGATATTATTTCATAATAAATGACTATTAAACAGCAATTTTTGTAAACACTTTATGATATTGGTGACGGTGATTATTATAAACAGTCTTATTGTATACCTACTTATGTAAAATTTGTAACCCTAATTCATTGATTTTATTGAAAATTCACATCAGTACAGTTTTGTGCATAATTATTGAACAACGTACATTAACAATGAATTTAATTATGGTTCATATTGGGATTTTAATCCCAGGTAACTTACCCATCATCGAGAGACAGTTGTTTTACCAAATATGTATTAGATACGTTAATATATCAGGTAAATAAAAAAAATTATAAGTTTTACCTTTAACTAATCTCCAATAACATTTTTTAAGTAACTAGATACTAATATAAATATATATATATCTACTACTCGAAATGTTTACGGATGTATCTCCACTTTTTCAGTAATGAGCTGATGTTTTGGACTCGTTGTAGAGTTCATTTTCAAAGCGATAATTACAAGCTCGTGGTTGTAACTATACTATCGGCTTAGTTTGTTCAGTATGTTTTATATCAGTTGATAAATGATAACATTGATGTTATTTATCTGTTGTATGCCCTTGTATCATTTTCTATAATTTGTTTCCCAAGAAAAGCTTTTGGGGGGCTATCTCCACTCCTCCTTAGACAGTATCCCATACTATGAATCTTACAAGTTCAAAATTTTACCATTGGTTGGTTAAAAACAAATTGTTTTCGTATAAACTATACTAATTATTACAGTATTATAAAAAATGGATAGTACCTATAATTAAAAAAAAAAACAAAAATACATTCATTTTCACTATCGGGATGAATTTTTCATATTGTGATAAATAAATAAAATAATGATTTGAACATTAGCTGATTTACTTTTTCAACTTTTAAGCTATTAAGAAAAAATAACTTATACCTAAATACTAATAACAAATAAGTTATAAATAATTTTTAAAATAAATATAAATTATAAACAGTGTAAAATTTAAGACAAAATAAAATCCGATTTTTTTTTTCCATAATAAAGTACATTACATTAGCTCTATTTTAAGATACAAATAAAAGTGTCAGACTTTCCTGAACACTTTCAAAAGTTAAGTTGAAAAAGTAAATTTTTTGTGAAAAATTTGTCATTTTGATTCCCCCTCTGTAGGCAGGTAAAGAGTCAGATGTAATAAAGTGGTAAATTTTGTGTCTACACACACAAAAAAAAACACATCTTAGTAAAACCAATACCTTCTCAGCTTCGCATTGAAGCTAAAAGGATGGCCTAAGAGACAGACTTCCAAAAAATTATAAAATTCATAATATGATTTGGTGTGGTTATATTATATCCCTACCATATATTATGGTCGGATATAATATATCTTACCATGTCTTATGGGTGATCTTGGGTTAATTATATAAATATTATAATACTTAAATTTTAATACGGCTGTTTCAATAAAACTGTTGAAAATACTGCTTTACACAATTATAAATTCGCAAGTGGTAATTACTAACATATTTCTGATATTTCACCTTATATGTTGTTCCAAAATTCTAAAATAAATGGCGAAAAAAAATTCACTTGTAGTGTAGAATCAGGAGTTACACTTATTAGTAATAGGGTTGATATGTCGTCATTAGAACTTTAATGTTGCTTAAGAAAGGCTTAGACTCAGTTGAGGTTAAGTTTTTCTCTCACAAAATTACGAATGTTTTTAAATTAATTATTAATTACACTAAAAAAAATTCCTTATTAAAATGAACAAATGTATTGTTAATATACAGCCTTCAAATATTTGTTGACTGAATAGTAATTTTTGTTGAATTAAAAAAATGATCCAGCCAAAGAAAAATTTTTAATTAAATAGCTAAAACTAGAATTTATGTATGGCACTTGGTCGCACTATACTAGTTCAGGAGATACGTTATTTTAGGGCCCTGCTTTCATCTAAAATATTTTGTATAATTTCATTCTTGAAACTTATATCCCTCCCCAAAACGTATTAATAACAATCGTCGCAAGTTCATTATTTTTAAATGAAACCTGTGATAGTTTACCTCTGAAGTACAGAAATATATAATTAATGTGCATATTTTCATTATTAAAATTTATTTTAAGTTTAATACATTGTATTACAATTAGTTGTATCGTAATAAATATATAACAGAGTGGGTAACTTGTCTATGGGTAACTTTCGTTTAACAAATTTCTTGTTCCAATTGACATTTGTTCTAACAAATTTTTATTGGAATGTAAGTTCAATGGATTCTATGTAATACATAACATTGTTATTATCAAAAAAAAAAAAAGAATGTAGAGTTAAAAAGAATAACGTTCTGTGATAATAATATTTGGCTAATATGATAGTGAGTTTGATAAAGGATCTAAAAGTCAGTGTTTATTATTTGTTTTTATTTTTTATTTAATCAGGTAAATTGTTATTAATGAATATAATATTGTCTATGATATACATCAAGTAAAATTTTAAAGTAATACATGAGTACATTATTAGTTTGGGTGAATTTTTATAAATGGCTAAACATCCAGTAGTAACTGGTATTTCTCCTAAAGAAGGTCCTCCTGGAACTAGAGTTACAATTAGAGGAGAATTTTTGGGAAGTGGTCCAAATGATTTAATAGGTATGTTACAAAATAAATGAACTATATTTGTTACTCAGTACCAGAAAATAGTGTTACAATAGGGTTTCTTAAGCCTGTAACTCGTAGTAATGAGTAGTATCTGATATTTGTTCTGTATTGAAAAAGTAGTCAATTTTATTCTCCCCAAAATATTTTTATAGGATTAAAAATATGTGACTGCGAGTGTCTACTATCAGCCGAATGGAAATCTCCTAATAAAATAATTGCACGTTCAGGTCCAGGAAAAGGACGTGGTGATATAATTGTTTCCACAAAGTCGGGTGGAGTAGGTACTAGTACAGTACAGTTTCGGGGTTACCATGAAACAATTGGACCTCTAAAAGAAAGTGCAGTTTGGGTAGAAGAAGCACCTCTTAACTGGGGTAGACAAAATAGTTCAACGACTATTTTTCAACTCGATGATCCACTAGGCTTATCAGTTGAAGGAGATGAGTGTGTAGATTTATTGATTGATGTATTTATTAGTCACTTATTTTATGTATTATTTTAATCAATATTGTTTTTATAGAAAATTTCCTGAAAATGAACTCACAGAACTATTTCCTGATGGATCAGGAGATCTTTTATCAGAAAATTTTGAACCTGCTTGGTTTCTACTGGAAAATCATCATGGAACATCGTTTGATGATTTAAGAGTAGGGTTATCTTATTTAAAGCGAAAAGTAGACTCGCAGAATGAGGGACAATTGACATTTTTAAAAGTAAGTGAATTGTACTGTTTTTATTAAAATATTAAAATGTAAAATAATGTATGTTTTTTAGGATAATGTTGGATCTGTGATGGAACAGTTAGATACTTTGTTTTCCTTGAAGCAGAATTATGAAGCTGATTTTGATAAAAATAATACTACATTATTAAAAGTAGAAGAAGCCATAAATCGTAATATTTTATACTTTAAAATATAAAATTATAACATTTATATGAATATATTTTTATTTTAGAATCATTAAAAGAAGCCACTAATTTATTTCATGGTGTCTTAACTCGAAGAGAAAAAGCTGAAGCAACAAGAAATGCTTTAGCAGTAATGACTAGATATAAGTTTTTATTCCAATTGCCTATTAATATTGATAGAAATATTAAAAATGAAGATGTTGATGTTATAATAAATGATTATACCAGAGCATTAAATTTATTTGGAAAAACTGAAGTATCTGTTAGTACATCATTTTTGACTTATCAATTGATTTGTAATTATTATTGAAATCATTAGTTTTTTATAGAAATTACTTATTATTTAATTTTAGGCAACAACATTATAAATTTAATTTATGGTATAATATTTTAAATGATTATTTATAATGGTTGGTGTATATTTTTTATTTTAAAAAAAGTTTAAGTAATAAACAATTTAAAATTATTTAAGGTTTTTAAAAAAATATTGGAAGAAGTTGAAATTAAAATTAAAAATTTAAGAATTAATTTGAAACATAAACTTCATGAAATGCCAACTACATTGAAACAACAAAAAAAATTAATCAGGTTATTATTTAACAAACATAGAGTGTTCAGTAAAAAAGGAAATCTGTTTCTATTGTTCTTATTGTTTGTAACAATTGACCTGTTTCCTAACTTACTAAACACTCTGTATATTAATTAATTTAATAAAAAATAAATTAAAGTAATCTAAGTATAATTTTAGAAACTTGGTCGCTTTGAATGATAATGGTGATCCCGGTTGGGAAGCAATTACTTATATGAAGCAGTTTATTATAGATAAAATTAAAGCATGTTATCAACAATTTATATCTGATGAACAGAATAATGATACTCCTAGTTAGTAGAAACTATTATCATCCTAAGATATCTATATTTTAATAGTAACGATAAAAATCTTCAAATAGTACAATTTTCCAAGAGAATTAAAAAAGAAACAGATGTATCATAAAAAATTGTATTGGGCATTATCAGTATTTTTACTTTATGAGTTTACCAGTATGTGTTCAATAAATATCATATAAAGAATAATATGCCCAAGGATATTTTTATTATTTTAATACTATAACATAAAAATAAAAAAATTACAGATATGTGTTGTTGCTATTAAAATAATGATATATAGTTGACATGTGCATCTAACAAATATGAATTAATGATACCTACATTTAATGAATTCAGTTAAATTTCTACTTTGTAATTATTTTAGATAAGGGAAATAGACATCCTCAAAACAAGCATAAAAGAAATATCAGCTTATCTCAACAAATTGAACACCATGTATGTTAAATAAAAGTATTACTAAATTTTATGTTTATGAATATTGGATAAACTTTCAATTTTAATCTATTAACTAGTACATAAGACGAAATATTTCAAACTTTTATGTAAAATTTGTAAGCAGAGTAAATTTATTTTTTTATTTTATGAAACAAATTCTTTTTTATTAGATTAATATTTTGGATTATAGGTTATAAAAAAAAAAAAAAAATTATTGTATTACCCTTATCATATTAAATATTTTATAGCATAGCGAACCAAAAAAAATACAGTGCATTGATGAAATTGCATCTATAATTTCGGACTACTTTCCTGATTTATGGAAATTGGGTCAAAGTTATTTTGTTGGAGATTTAGCAGTAAAACCAGATTGCAACCATGAAAAAGATTTTAAGGTTTTCAATTCTCAATTTTATAATTTCACTATTTTAAATATTAGCCATGTTTTCCAGGAAATGGTTTTAGATGTAATTATAACAGTTTCCGATATATATAGAACAATTATGCTACCAACTAGTACTACTAATTTATTTTCTCCTGTACCTATTATATGGTTGCCACATTGTTTGAAACAAATTAGATCAGTATTTACAGTTTTAATGGCTTTAGACCTCCCTAATGAAGCTTTGAACAAAATATCAAGCATTATTTTTGATTTGAGGTATGTTAATTAAAAGCTACACTTCATTATTTAATATACTTTCTTTTTTATTAATTCTCTGTTCAATTTTTTTATTTAGAGTACATTGCTTAAATATACTTTTTAAGCAAGCTTCTGAAAAAATTATCAAATTAAAAACTTCTGAAACGTGGAAACTAGATTTTTATTCAAAACAAGGAACAATTTCACAATTAGTAATGTTATTTGTTACGTTATTATCAGGGATAGGATTTTCTAGCACTAAAAATTGTATAAATATGCACTTTATATGCCTCCAAAAATAAAGTTATATGCATTAAAAATATGCAAAAAAAAAAAAACAAATTAGTAAAAACAGTTTTTTTTTGTTTATATTGATATTTAAATATTACATAGTGTTGTTAAAATTTAAAACAATCTATATGTGTACAATATCTGGTTCTCAAATAAATTCAAATAATAAAAAATTAAATTTATTAATTAATCTAAAAATCTTTTAAACATAAAACAATTAATTAAATAGGTTTTGTACCCATTGTTAAAAATATAATATAAAACATATTTATTGTACTCTTGAATCACAAAAAAAATATAAGTATATATATATATACAGGGTGATTTTTTTATCATAACCCACTCAATTACTTACAGAATAATAATAATTTAAAAATTTTTTATATTACTATCTTTAGTTACACATTATTCTTGAATTATTAACTATGTAATACTTTTTAAGTTCATCCCTTATGCCTGGTAAGGATGTCAACTTTGTTTTTTTTAAATGGTAACACGTATTTTTAATTTAATAAAATGTTTGAGTTTTTAATTCAATAATAAATGGCATTTGAATTTTTAATAAAACTTAATTTGTTTATTAGATATAAACATTTAAAGTTTCAAATTTTTGAGTTAATATATAGGTATAATACACAAGGGATTACAAATACAGGTAGCTAATTGGTTTTTTATGATATTGCTATCACAGTCACGGATTGTTTATTATCAATTATGACTATCAATAGATATACTTTTTGTATTGTCAGTTAGTGTATTTATAAACTCACAACAATGTACCTTACTATCATTGATAATAACAATGCTGTGTACCTGCTAATATCGATGTCATAAAAAATCAATTAGCTACCTGTATTTGTAATCCCTTGTGTATTATACCTATATATTAACTCAAAAATTTGAAACTTTAAATGTTTATATCTAATAAACAAATTAAGTTTTATTAAAAATTCAAATGCCATTTATTATTGAATTAAAAACTCAAACATTTTATTAAATTAAAAATATGTGTTACCATTTAAAAAAACAAAGTTGACACCCTTACCAGGCATAAGGGATGAACTTAAAAAGTATTACATAGTTAATAATTCAAGAATAATGTGTAACTAAAGATAATAATAAAAAAAAATTTTTAAATTATTATTATTCTGTAAGTAATTGAGTGGGTTATGATAAAAAAAATATTTACCATAGTCATTGTAAAATTAAAAAAAATAATATTAAATGTTTACTTTGAGCGGTACACTGAATTATTAAGTACTTAACAATATTTTCAAATTTGAATTTTCTCTGATTGTCCAATAGTAACGTTTTGTAAATTGAAAATAAATGTTTAACATCCACTGATGTGTTTAGAAAAAAGTATGTAAGATCATCACTAGAAAGTTCACGAAATAGCTCATCAAAATTTGTATTTTTTTCACTAGTCAAGGTGCTAGAAATTTGTCTTACTACAAGCAAACCAGTATTTTTTTCTAAAACATTATTGAATTCACAACTATTTTCTCTGTGTTTTCCTGTTCTGAAAATAAAGATTAATGACATATTTAATAGAAACTCTTTAGTTTGTAATTTTTCTAAAGAAACCAGTAATATAGAAAAAATTAATTTGATGTATGCTAGATGATTTTCTAAACTAGTATTACTAAGACATTTTTTTGCTTCTTATACAATAATCCCATCATCTTGTTCTAATAAATTAATTATACATAGTTTGTACACATAATGTTCTTAGTGTAGTTAGATCCAGTATTGGATATTACTAAATAATATACTATTATCTATTTTGAAAACATCCTCCCTATATTTATTCATGTATTTTTAAGACTGTATGATATAGATTGTCTATCTTTTGACAATATAGAAAAACAATATATGGCAATTGACTGAAAAGTTACTGACGACGTAGTGAAAAATTCCAATGAACTACTACAATACGAATTTTTGTTATAAATCAACTCAGAACACAATACAGCTCACTATAGATAAAAACAGATAGCAAAATACAGGTTTAGCTTAGTGAATATATCATTAAAAAATCTGTTCACATGTTTAAAAATTATAACATGACCAATATTGACTTAAAAAAAGTAAAATATTTTTTATAAATTAAAAAAAAATATGCAAAAACTAGAAAATCCGTTCTCTTATTATCATATAAGAATATGTTGAATTTTATTTTCATTGAAATTATTAATTTTCTTTAAATTGATTTTACAGCCTAGTGAATTTTATAATATTTTGATAGAAACCATGAAATCTGCTAAAGAATATGTAGTCTGTGATGAACGTAAAGAAACTGTTCTTGGAGATAATGAAACTGCAAAAAATGAACTACAACTGTTGGTTCATAAGTGTTTCTGGAATTTTTCACAAGTTTGTTTTTAATTAAAATTAGAACTATTTATGTTTACATTTTTTAATATCTTATATTTATGACATATTTTAGGTGTTAGAGCAAGTTGGTATAAATGGTGAAAACAACTGTTCTTCCACAACGGTTATGTCTCTAGGTGGATCCTCAATATCAGGTTTTCGAATTCAAAATGAAATGGTATAAAAAAGTGCTTACTTACAAATGCACTATTGAATTTATCAATAATATTGTGTTATTAAAGCCTGATTGGAGTCTCTAGGCCTCTAGGCAGTTGCTAAATCAGGGACATTTTGAGTAGAATATTTAGGAATTTTTTTATAGGCCTGAAGCAACTGCTTTGTCTGCCTAGACAACAATATGGCCCTATATATTTTTTTTTATAATTTATGTGCCTAAACTCTCACTAATAATTGTATAATATTCATACGCCAGTATTAATGATATAACTTTTTAGGCATGGGAGCAAAAGCTATTAGTAACAATTAGTAACAGTCAATACACTAGAAATACATTGTTACCTAAATTAAAAACTGAATTTGAAGCCAATGGTTTTCCAACAATTGAAAGTGTAGTTTCTCGAGCAGTAGAACTTTTAGAGAATACTGAAAATAAACTTTTGGATACTTATATTGAAACAAAAAGTGACCCTCTAGTTGGTACTATTGAACCATCAATGTATGTTGGTAGTTTTGAATGGGACTCTCCATCATTATTAAAGCCAACAAGTGTGCGTCCCTATGCTAAAGAAATAATTACAAACTTAATAGCATTACATACTGAAGTAATTAATTTCTTAAGTGGAAAAAAAATGTTCTATATATTTTTCTAATAAATTATAATACTTAAGGTTCAGACAATCATACCAGATTTAATGTATGCTGTATTATCAGCCATTGTGGTAACTGTGTCAGAAGAAATGTCCAGGCTTATGAATTGTATTACTCATTTTAATGATAATGGAGCAATGCAGGCTAGGTTGGACTTAATGGCTTTAACATTTACACTATCAAACTATTTCACACCTAACTCAAAGTAAATAATTGAAATATATATATATATATATATATACAGAGTGATCGGTTTATCATAAACCACTCAATTACTCACAATATAAATACAGTACAGTAGAAACTCGATTAACAGAAATACATAAATAATAAATACTAATAATATATAATATGCAATAACATAAAAAACACCATTCTAAAAAATATTAAACAAAATAATCCGTCATCTTCTTCTGTTTTTTTGAGTCACGAGCTTTTTGAGCGGCCATGTTTCGTATTTTATGAAGAGGTAAGACCTGCGTTGCATTTCCCTCCTCTTGTACCTCAAACCAATCAATGCATTTTGATAACATTGCTTCTACTTCTGCGTGGCTAGTTGATGGTTTTAAGTCAAGCACTGAATCTTCAACTTCTTTGTCAACGGTAGTGACATTAATAATTTGATCATCATTTAAAACTTCAAATCCTCCATCCTGTTTATCACTTTCTAACCAATCCGTTACTTCTTTCGTTGATAATATTTCACTATTCAGTTCATTACAGAGTTGTACAATTTCTTCTACACGAACAGTATCAGATTCTTCAGATTCGAACGGTGTTATATCAGGCCATAGTTTATTCCACCCATTCTTTAGGTTTGGTACAGTCAGATCAGACGGTGACCGATGACGGATAATAGAATTTGACGGTAAATCGAGTTTTTACTGTATTAAACAAATATTTTATAGCTTTTAATTACTTTTTAGGATCATCCCTTATAACATATAGGGGTGACTTTATTTTTTTAAATTACAACAAACATATTAAACTAGCTTATATAATAAAAATAATCTAATTAAGAAAATGACTAGTTGGTAATAACTTTTGAATCAATATTTCAGAAGTTATTAACATTTTAAAGTAATTACTGGAGGAGATGAGTAGGTACTGCTATTTTTATCATTAGTCATTTCCCACTTGTACACTTCGTCCCACCTACCTAACTATTAATAGGTGTATAAAATAGGAATAACATTCAAAAAATTGGTCCCAAAATTGTTATCAACTAGTTATTTTCTTAATTAGATTATTTCCTTAAAAATAATTGTTGATCAATCAAGGATTATATGTATATAAAGAAATAAAAATTTTTTTTCTTCTAATATTGTATTTATTTTGTAAGTATTTGAGTGAGCGGTTTATGATAATTCGATCACCTGTATGTATACTTTAAAATTAACTTTACTTATTTGTATGTATATATTTACAGGGATTTTTTTAGTGACGCAATGGATGCAATACCACCATTAAAGTTGTTAGAAGATGAAAGGTAATTTTCTTATTCTTTTTAAAATTAACATTCTTTTCTTTTAAAAATAAGTAGGAGTAAGACAGAGTATATAGAGTACGAGTTTGACAAAGGAGAACATAAGGTATGAGTTCAGTGATAATAGGTGAGGACGTGATATGAGAGGTGGAAAGTTTTAAGTATTTAGGACAAGCTGTGCAAAAGAGCGGTGGTATTGACGAGGATGTAAGACAAAGGATTAAATGCGAGTCGTTATAGTGGAGAGAAGCATCTGGTGTTTTATGCAATGAAAGAATTCCAATGAGGCAGAAAAGTAGCTATAAGACTTTTGTGAGACTAGCTATGATGTATGGTTCAGAAAATTGGGCGGTTAACAAGAAAGTAGAACAGAGAATGAGTGTAGTAAAGATGAGAATGCTTAGATAGATGAGTGAAGTAACTAGAGAAGATAAGATAAGGTTCAAACATATAAGAGGGAGTATAGGTGTAGCGTCAGTCGTGGATAAGATGAGAGAAAATAGACTTAAATGGTTTGGTCATGTTATGAGGAGAGAGGAATCGGAAGCTGTAAGAACAGTTATAGAAATGAATGTTGAAGGAAGAAGAGGTAGAGGAAGACCAAAAAAGAGATGAAGGGATGTAATTGAATGTGATATGAGGACAGCTGATGTGAGCGTAGATGATGTCGCTGATCGTGTCAAGTGGAAGTTTAGGATAAGGGTGGCCGACTCCAAGTAGTTGGATTCAAGGCGAAGAAAACATTATTTTGTATGTGATTATACAATTTATTTTTAGTTATGTTAACAAATGCCTAGAACAGTTTAAATCTCAAATGCGTCTACAAATTATGTGTTTTTTAATGCCTTGCCATCTCTATCAAGAAACAAGTATAATGTAACAAGAGTTATGCATTTACATTATATTTTTATATATTTTAATGCTTATTTTATGAATATATTTATTATTAATCTATTTGTTGTTTTTTAATCATATAATAATGCAAATACGTTTTTAAAAATTTGTTGTTAGGATAATTTTTTAATTTATGTAAATTGTTTTCTTGTTCTTGTCTAAATAAACTAGTAAGATTTTCTACAATATATAATATTTTCTAATAATAAAAAAAAATTTTTATATAAAATTTACTTTCAATAGAAATTTTTTACAAGAATTTTCTACTCAAGAAATTCAATAGAACGAAAAAAATGTTCGAAATCTGATTATCATATTTTATTATGATGTTATTATGAAATATTAGTGATAAGATTTGTGTCCATAAAGTGAATAGAAGGGGAACTTGTTTATGCTACTTTTACTATCACTAGTGAAATGAGTAATTTTTATTAAATATTGCGGCAATAATTTTATATTAGAAAATATAAATATTATAGGAATCAAATTTAATTATGAATATCCAAATTTTGATTTTCATAGATTAGTGTTCACGATTTACATAAAAGGGAGATGTCGCTGATGAAAACCTAAACGTTTTCATCGTGTTAAATAGGATAAGCGGTGTTTAATGAAGAGTATAACCAAAAATTACAATATTTTATGTAATAAGTTTAATTAACCCACAAATATACTACCTTTGAAGGAATAAGTAAATCAGTGGCGAGATTAGTTATCGACAATAAAATTCGGATGTAATATGTTGGGATCAAATTCTTGTATTTAATAGTTGCGTGAAGACTTTTAAGTTCAAAATATAATATTTTCAATTTAGCATTTTCTTGACAAATTATTTTATAATAAGAAAAAGAAGGATAGTTAAAAAAAATTAAATGAACGTATTTTATCGAACGAGTTGCATATTATTTTTTATATGGCCAAAAATAATACATAATGTTAAAGATATATAACAAATATTTCTTCTAAAAGTATTTAAAATATATCCTCGTGCTATAAAATATGTATTATGTTATAAGTATTTTATAACTACTACGTTAATATTTTGAAATATTTTAACGCATATGCGACTGCCCATAGCAGTAATTTTATAATATTAGGTGCGAAATACCTTTAACAAGCTCATTTTAGTAAATAATATAAGAATGTATTATTTATTAAAAACAGTCCAAACAAAAAATGAAAATTTTAAGTCGAAAGCGTTGGCTAATTTACACACCTGCATGTCCCTTATGACTAATGAACTTAGTCGTGTATTTAGAGATAAATATTTTTTTCTGCCATTGAATCAGCTAAATTTCTATAAATAAATTAGTAGAACTGACAGACACCACTATAATATCATAGCTTAAACTCGAGATTTTATGGATATTATGAGAAATTTCAAATAAACCCATTTATTAATAAATAGATGTTATTTCTTTTTTTTTTTGTTCATGTAAACAAAATGATCTAAAAAGTTACTGTACAGGGTCTCAATAATGAAGTCCTTACCTGGCCTACAACTAATATTTCCTAAATGTTTTAGCATAATAACTTTAAAAATACCTACGAAGATATTTGGTTTGACCAATTTTTTTACTAAGTATAGAAAAATATGATAAAATTCTTTTAAAACGAAGGCATCAATATTTATTATTTGCCAATTCAATCTTTTCCTTTTTTTTTTTTAGTAGACAACTATCGTCGCTGTTAGGAGCACACGCCCCCTGCGTCAACCTCCTGGATCCGTTACTAAAATTTTGTAGAATCTACAGAATTATGTGTTCTAATTATTTGTTTAATAGTTTAATAAGAAATGATCACTTATGGCTAATATTATTTAAAATTAAGACTATTTTGTAATTTTAAATTGAGTGATTATTTTTCGAATTTTTTTTAACTATCAAAAAGATTAATTAATTTGGAAATTGTTTGAATTTACGAATTTATATAAAAAGATAATTCAAGATCACTAATTTTTTTTTGAGATTTAAGGTTATCAAAAATAATAAACAAAATTTGTGAGAGAAGAATGAGCGAAAAATCGTAGTTATAATTTATAACTTATAAATATTAAGAACCTTGTTTCTTTAAAATTTAACTAATGATTAACTCGAAGATAGTATCTTCAACAAAGAAACGAAACATGATTTATGTATATATATATATATATATATATATATATTAGAGGTGATTCTTTGTTTTTTTTTTTATCAATTTTGTCTGACACAAAGGTGTTATCATTCTCCGAGTTATGCAGTTTATACATAATAGTAGATATCGCGGCGGTTACGGCACTGTAAAAGAGCCATGGTGCCGACTATTTCAAGATGGAAGCTGTGCACTCTACCTCCATACCTAGCAAAATCGAATTTTTGTGTATTGATGATAATACCCATAAACTCTTAACAATAATTACTTCTTCATTATTATAGTACAGTAGCACCCATAATAAAATGTCTAGTATACAGTATTGTTAATGTTTTTTTTTTTATGTAAAATAATTAAGTTATTTATTAAACTTGTGCGGGTTTGCGTCATTTATGATAACCGTTTTGTTTGGTCGACTCCCATGATTTACCGGTGACAATTGGAACGTTTGGCTTGCGCTACAACGGGGGTGCCAAAGGAATTTCGGCGAGTATAATATTGGTGTGGTATTAATCTAGAACAGGTACATAGCTCAAGCTACCCAAATGATCTCCTCAGTTACACAGGTAATTGCATATTTCAGTATTGTAACTCAATTAGTATCAACTTAATCTTTATAAGTTTAGAATGATAATATTTTTGAGTAGCTGTGGATTGACTGATGGTGATTTTTAATTAATAATAACGAAGTATTTTTAAATACTGTGGTGTGAAATCGCCTTAATACATAATAAAATAATACATGAAGTATTTTTATAACTGTAGTCTGCAGTTAAACATAGCTTTAGAAATCTTCATCCCCGTGCAATACATTTTTTCTTGTTTACTACTTAAGTAAATTAATGTTCATTTATTTTAACCTGTACTATTAACAATACAATTATTATGTAAACAGTTCTATTCAAAAATAGATATGATTATTAAGTATTTGTATTTATTTTATTAAGAGAATTTTTATGAGCGCTGAATAAGATATACTAAAAAAATTATTTTTTCTTCTTCAATTAAAAAAAAAGTTAGATGATCTTAGTTCTGAAGCATCAATTTTCCATAAAATTTGTTGTTACTATTATTATTATTATTTAAATTGTCAAAAGAATTATTCATACAATTTTCTACATATTAATTTCAGTCATTTATTATGGCTATTAGTATTCATAAGTTAGAAATGGGAATCAAATTATTGAATGATACAATTAGCCATCACTTAGAATATTTGGAAACCTGAAAAGTCTCATGATAATTTTTTTAATGAAAAATGTGGAAAGTTATTGATATTTGAGATGTATAAAAAATTATTCTTGTGTTCCATACATCTAATATAAAATTTAATGATTTTTTATACTTCTGTATGAACTATTCAATATTTATAAAACAAAAAACAAATTTCTATCATAGTATACTATGCTTGTTAAAAATATATATGCATGTGTATTGTAGTGCAAGTGGAACAAATTATTTAAAATTAAAATTGTTGAAATGTAATGGTAAATTAAATAATTTGAGCATCCTTCTATGAACTTTTTAAAGACTGATAATGTTAAAACTAAATGATAGTCTTCTACATAATTAGCTTTTTAAAACAAATTTAATTTTTTTTTTGGCTATATAAAAAAATGACAAAATTATCCCCAGTATCAAAAAATAGTATTTTTAAGTTAAGAATGATCTAGAAAAATAATTATTTTATTATATTGTAAAGCAATCTAAGCATATTATAGTTAACATTCATTGTTCTTGATATTTTTGTATAATATACAAATTGAAATTAATTCAATTGAATTCTCATTCAGTTTTGCTGATAAAGTAGTTCTGTAAAACTGTCATTTACATTGTTTTAAACTATATTTTTTATAATTAATGCTTAAATGAATGACTAATTTTGATTAACCAACCATTTTAAACATAATATGTCTAATGGTTGAAGTTATAGAACAGTTAAAATATTATAATCACATTAAAAATATACTATCTAAATGATTTTATTTAAACATAAATTTGCTATGTTTGTTAACTTTTATTATTATACTTAAATGAAATTGTAATATAATAATTTGATAAAATGAAATTGCTAACTGTTTTTCTATATCAATACTATATAATGTGCTCTTGAATATTAATTCTAATTTATTAACATTAATTAAAAGGTATTGTCTTCTTTTTTTTTTTACTGTTTTTTTATCATTAATTTCATTATTATTATTATTTTTTTATGTTCTGCTTTTTAATTTTTAGATTCCATAAATATGATGTCCTATTCATCAATTTTTAAAGAATGTATCAGAAAAATAATGTATTTTCACACAATTATAGTTATGTTTGTATCCTGAAAATGATATTATTTAAATGGATTGGTCATTTATCACTTATGGTAAGTGATATTTAAATAGCTATAAAGTAATGTCACAATAATATGTTATTTTATACTTAACAGGAAATTTGGTGATGCAGAGTTCCAAATTATGTATTGTCCTACTGCTTTTGCTAATAGCTACGCTAAAATGTTCTTTAGCTATGTCAGTTATAGCAAAGTATCCTTTAAATGTTCAAACAGAATGTTTTTCGGAACACCTACTTCATATGGCTGTAGACAAAAGCTTTGGAGGTCATGTTTATATTGGCGCAAAGAACAAATTAATTCAATTAGAAGGATCAAATTTAACTGTAGAAGCTTGTACCAATACAGGACCATTAGCGGATAGCCCACAATGTCCTGCGAGTGGTTGTCCAACATCTCCAATTATTGAAACTTCATTAACGGACAATTATAATAAAATTTTGATTATAGACTCAGAATCTCGGACTTTAATTGTTTGTGGTTCTATATTTCAAGGGGCTTGCAATAAATATAAAGTTTCAAATGTTTCATTACCAGCACAGTTTATACCTATGAGTATTGCAGCTAATAATGAACAAGCTTCAACTTATGCATTTATTGGACCAGAACACTACAATCATTGGGGAAAATCCAATGTTTTGTATGTCGGAACAACATTTACCAACAATGGAGAATATAGGCATGCTGTACCAGCAATATCGAGCCGTAATCTTTTTAATTTAGATTACGCTGAATATTCGTTTTCAAAACAATCTCTACTAAACATAAATACTCAGTACCGAGACCATTTTCTTGTTAAATATGTGTATGGCTTTAACTCGAGTGATTATGCTTATTTTGTTATTGTTCAAAAACGATTGCCGTTGCCTGGACAAGAAGATCAAGGTTATGTTACTAGATTGGCTCGTGTTTGTATAGACGATGCTAATTATGATAGCTATACTGAAGTAACTTTACAATGCTTGGTTAGAATATCCCCCAATAGTGATGATGTAGTTGAATATAATCTTGCTCAAGATGTGAAACTTACTAATGCTGGAGAAGATTTGGCTACAAGTCTAGGCATCAGTACCGAAGATCATGTTTTAATTGGATCATTTTCACCAAGTCAAGGAATGACAAGTGAACCAATGACCAAGTCTACTGTTTGTGCATTTAGTATGCAGCACATAGAATCAAAATTTAATGAAAATATTCATATGTGTTTCAATGGTAGTTTAAATTACCGTGATATGCCATATATTTCTGGACCAATATTACAAGGAAATTGTCCTCCTGCTGGGGTAAGTGAATTTTTTTTAACTATTACTGATAGTATTATTTGAATAATTGTCAAACTTAATTAAATTACAGTCAACGGGAAATATATTAAATTTTTGTGAAGTTGGTTTGAAAATTTCTGGGAAACATCCTATTAGCACAGATGCTGCTATAAACTTCCCTAATCATCTAATTACATCCATAACATTAGCAATCACCGAAAAAAATACAATTTTATTTTTAGGAACTTCAAATGGCATCTTAAAAAAAGTAAGATTTACTATTGTGCATCTTATAATTTAACTTACAATATCATATTATAAATATATATTATTCATAAGTTTATGTATTCTGTGTGTATTTTATGTTTTAATTTATTCCCTATACAATTTAGGTTTTGTTATCGTCTGCTACAAGTGGAGTGAAGTATGAAGAAATAGTTTTAGATAATGGCAATCCTATATTACCTGATACAACATTATCTGCTAATGGAGATAATTTATATGTACTAACAAAATCAAGTGTAAGTTTATTACTTTAAAACTTTTTTTTTATTATAAAATATATATAATTTAAAGTATTCATGTATTAACATCAAACAAAATATCTGTTACTTAAAGAAATCTTAGAAATCCTTATCAATGTTTTATTATATAAATTTAATTAATGTATCCATAACTTAAATATGCAGCTTAGACTTACTCCTTTTAGCTCTTTTACATATGCAATACTGAATAAGCTTATTAAATTTTCAAATATTATTAGTTTTTGTTAAATTTAAGAACTAACAAGTTTGAGACTAAGTTTAAGACTAAACTGAAAACATTATATCTCAACTAAATTTGAATATTTTGTGTTACATGAACATTTTCTAATTTTATCATTTAGCAAACTTTGTACATATTTACATTTATAAGTAAAAGTAATTATTTTAATAGGTCATGAAAGTGAGAGTTGAACATTGCAACAGTTTTACTAATTGTTCAGCTTGTTTAGAGGCAAATGACCCTTACTGTGGTTGGTGTTCTCTTGAAAGAAGGTAAGGGCAATCAATATTTTTTGGATTGATTAAATGGTTAATTTGAAAATTATATTTATTTTTTAGATGCACGGTTAGGAGTACTTGTCAAAAAGCAAGTCATAGTTCACCACGTTGGTTATCTCTGGGAACAGGACAACAATGTATAGATTTTGAACAAATTAACCCAGATCGGATTCCAATATATCAAATGTCAAAGGTACTAATTTCTAAATAATTTTAAATTTAATTACTTTTGATTTAAGAGAAACATGAAAAAAGGAATATTCTACCTCAATTTATACTGAAATAATACATATCTCAGTTTTTTTTTATTTTCAGGATGATCATATAACAAATTAAAATTATATGCTTTTAATGCAATAGGTGGTTTTATATTCATAATAAAAGAACTATGAGTCTCGAAAAAAAAATACGTATAAAAAAAATGTTCAGAAAAACATTTTTATCATTATTGAAAAAATCTTATTTGGGCAAAATTTTAGATACATACTGTTGCAGTTTAAGCAACATTATGTAATATAGTAGGAAGTATCATTTTGATTTTAAGTATTATATTTCTTAAAAAAATAAAAAATGATTAAATTTGTTTTCCTTATATAACCATGTTTTTATGTTCACTCATTTTTACTGATTGTGTTTACATTATATAATAGAATATACACAAAGACATTATTTATTGAAAAAAAATTCTGCATGTTTAAAATTTTTATTATATGTTAAAATTTTCTTATTTGTAGGTTCAACTTGTTATACGGACTTTACCAGAGCTTCCAACTGGTGCAAAGTATAGATGTGTCTTTGGTAAGACTGAACCATTGGATGCTATTGTTACCTCATTTGGTTTACAGTGTTCTACGCCTCCTACCCAATTAAGACCAAAGATCCCCAAAGGTCAGGATCATGTTTATGTATCTTTGTCTGTGAGATCTTCAGAAACAAATAAAGATTTTGTTAGTCGAAATTTTGCCTTTTATGATTGTTCAGCACATACAAGATGCATGGAGTGTGTAAAGTCGCAGTGGGCTTGCAATTGGTGTGTTTATGAAAATAAATGTACTAATAATGTTTCATCCTGTCAACGTATAATTATTAGCGGTGAAAATGTATGTATTACATCTATTGTACAACTTCTATGTAGTTAATTTACTGGAATTTCTTTTTTAAATTTGACTATGTAATATTTTGTTTCAGAATCCTGTTCGGTTGAAAAGTCACGGAGCAATGTTCTGTCCAAGATTTGTTCAGCCAGCTCAAAAAATATTACTGCCAAATGGTGTTCCTAAAGAAATAGTTCTTCAAGTAGAAAATTTGCCCAATCCACAAGTTGGCCATACAGGTTTTCAGTGTATAATAAACATTGAGGGGGCAAAACTCATGGTTCCTGCAAGGGTGGAAGAAAAGTATATTGTTTGTGATAAAACTACAGTGAGTAAATTTATAATTTTACTTAATTTTATTGGTATACAGGTGGATAAAACTAGAGATTGAAATAATTGAATTGATGATAGTATATTAGATTATTGTTAATTTTTGACACTTATAACAATATAAGTAAAAAATATTTTTACTAATATTTCCTGCAGTTATTCACTAAATAACATAGCTAAAAGTAAAAAAATTAGCTTATAACTTCACTACTATAATTTTATAAATGTGTTCATAAGAACTGTTGTGAATTTAAAAACTTTGTACTGTGGCTTATTTATCTGGTGGTTCAAGTTACCTTTTTTCTGTGTATTCAATTGTTTATTTTGTATATTAATCTGAACAGCTCTTTCACTATTTTATTATTAGTAGATTCATCGACTATTTTCGATTAAATTCCTAAAGGCAGATTCGGTTGTTATTTAAGTTTTGTGGCAGGATCTAACTCAGAAAAATACTAGACTAGTTGAATAATGGAATTTTATAACGAAAAAGCTATGATGCTGTTTCTATACCAAAATATATTTGTCAAATTTTTTTTAATTAAACATAATTGAAATGTATATTTATTATTGTTTTAGTATTCTTACGAAGCAAACTCTGGTGAATATGATGCTATGGTTAGTATGGTTTGGAATAGAAACCACCATGTTGATACAATCAACGTCACATTATACAAGTGTGATATACTTGGTTCTCATAGAGAGCATCCGGACTGTTCATTATGTGTTACTCGTAATCGTAAATACCATTGTACTTGGTGTTCTAATACTTGTGTTTACTCAGAAACATGTCCTGAATCATCAAGCAATGAATGCCCAAAACCAAGAATTGATATGGTAAATATTTATTTGTATTTATTTTATTAATTTTGTTTTATTCATAATTATAATATAATTTTAAGATTAAACCATTAAGTGGACCAATTGAAGGAGGAACATTAGTTACAATAGAAGGCAGCAATTTAGGTTTGAATAGAGAGGATGTATGGAATAAAATTCACATTGGGGGTATTTCTTGTCATTTAGTGGACTATGAAGTATCTGTAAAAATTGTTTGTAGAACTGGGCCTTCATCTATAGAAAAAGTTGCTTCAGTAGTAGTTGGCAATAATGCTGGAGTTACAGAATCTTCTGTACACTACAGCTACAAGGTTTGACATTTTTTATATTGTGGTGTTACAAATTACTAATTCTTAAAATTTTTAATAAACAACTTCTACTATTTCTATTTTTGCAGAATGTCAAACTTGAAAAAGTAACTCCTATCATAGGTCCTCAAAGTGGAGGTACCATCTTAGCCATCAGTGGGCATAATTTGAATATTGGTAGTTTAATAAATGCATTTTTGGATACATTTCCTTGTACGGTGAATACCACACATGCTTCAAGTTCCAGGCTTACTTGTGTGACATCATCAGCTGACAGACCAAAAACTATATCTGCAATGCATCTGATCATCGATGGATCTAATAGAACACTATCAAAACCGTTTACTTATCGAAGTGATCCAACCATAGCAGAAATCAAACCCTTGATTAGTTTTTTGTCAGGAGGCAGGATGATAACAGTTCACGGAACAAACTTTGATATAATTCAAAAACCTGAAATGGTTATTTATATAGATTCTGAAACGTTTCATCCCATCAACAAAACGGTAAGATTTTAAAATGGTTCGGGTGATTGAAATTTAATGTTTATGTTCTCAAACAATTATTAACATAAATTAAATTTTATTTCAGGAGTGTATCGTGCTTAATTCTGCCCAAATGGAATGTCCCTCTCCATCTGCTAATAATCAATTTTTAAAGAACTTTAAAAATCTAAAAAGAAAACGACGTACAACAAATGGAAAATATATAGATTCTTTTTTAACCTTAAAAATTGGGTTCATCATGGACAACGTTACAGCTGTGCGAGACTTGGAAAAACATTTTAAAACATTGCATTCTCAAATTGTATATGTTCAAGATCCAAAATTTTTTCAGTTTCCTAACACTGTTAAACTATACAAAGGAGACACGCTAGTTATTGAGGTATGAACTATTATTTTAGTAATCACAATACGTTTTTTGAGAAAAGTAATTAATTAATAAAAGTAATTGAGTAAATAATACATTTTTACAAATATTATAAGGTATAGGATTAAAAATTTTCTAAAAAAAAAAAATTTATTCTTAATAATTTAAACTACGTCCAATTTTTTCAGTAAATTTAAAGCTAAATGGATACCTTTAATCTTTAAGAAAGTGTAGGAACCGATCACCCCCCTATTGTGAAACCTGAATGCTCAAGTATCAACTTTTTATTATACTTGACTCATTTTATATCCATAAGATAATAACGCCGCTTTTACTTTTGATTAGAGAAAAAGTTTTGATTTCTAATAGTAATAGGATCGTTCTTAAATACCACTTTTAGTATTGATATTTAATTTATAAAATTTATTTATCAAAAAATTTTTATCGAATACAGGGTGAAAATTTAAACTTAGCTTGTGATGAATCTGATGTGAATGTAACAATTGGAATAGAAGTATGTAATGTAACATCATTGGCTAACACTCAATTAGTATGCATTCCACCTCAGTTTCAACCACAATCTACTGATGATATTGGTGTTTCAACTAAATCTGGATTACCTTTAGTAGTTGTAAGTCAACAAATAAATATTGAGAAGATCTAGTTTTCTGAATATAAATAACTTTAATTTTTGTCATTTTTATCGTTGTTTAGGTACGAGTTGGTAAAAAATTAAGATTTAATGTTGGCTACCTTCAGTATGATGTTATGTCAGCGTATTCTTTTTCACCAGAGGCGATTGCTGGTGCTATTACTGGTGCTCTGTGTATTATTATTATATTTTTCGTAATATTGTTTTTATATCGAAGAAAATCCACTCAAGCCGAAAGAGAATATAAACGAATACAAATACAAATGGATACATTAGAAAGTAATGTGAGATCTGAATGTAAACAAGGTACGTTCAATGTATAAACTCTCGTATGTTTTAATGTGAAATCGTTTTTTCTTGTTAATCAAAAAATAATTTTTATTATACAGCATTTGCTGAACTTCAGACTGATATGACTGATCTTACGGCCGATTTAGAATCCTCGGGTATACCTACATTAGATCACCATGAGTACATATTAAAAGTTTTTTTTCCTGGTGTTCGTGATCATCCTATTTTAAATGATTCAAAAGTAAGAACATTTTCTACGTACATACATTGTATAAATTTCAATGCAGTAGACTTATATTTTCGAACTAATTTTTTTAATGCAATTATTATTTTGTATAATGTTTACCAGGTTATTCCAGGTTCGATTACAAATTACGATGACGCCATGATGCAATTTGAACAGCTGATTAACAATAAGCATTTTGTATTGTCTTTTATTGACACTCTAGAATCGCAGAAAACTTTTAGTATTCGTGATAAGTGAGTTTTTTTGACAAATATTTAAATTAATTTTTTATTTAGACTAAAATTTAATTGTGATATAATCAATCTTCTAGAGTTAACGTGGCGTCACTTTTAATGGTTGTACTGATGAATAAAATGGATTATGCGACAGACGTGTTACGTAGTTTATTACTTAGGTTAATTGACAAATCTGTTATGTCAAAACATCCTCATTTAATGCTCAGAAGAACCGAGTCTGTTGTAGAGAAGATGTTGACTAATTGGATGGCATTAAACATGTACAAATACCTCAAAGACTATGCGGGTTCGTCACTTTTTCTACTTTACAAAGCTATAAAACACCAGGTTGAAAAGGGTCCAGTTGACGCATTGACATATGATGCTAGATATAGTCTTTCAGAAGATCGTTTGCTACGAGAACAAATCGATCATAGAGTAGTTGTAAGTCATGCTTGGCTATAATATATATTTTTATTAAGTAACATTTAATTTGCTAACTTGAAATTTTAGAATTTGTATGTGATTCAAGATGAGGTGAATGATAAAGTACAATGCAAAGTATTAGACTGTGATAGCATAAGTCAAGTTAAATCAAAAATACTTGATGCTGCTTACAAAAATACAGCATTTACATTGAGGCCTTCGGTGTTTGATGTGGATCTTGGTTAGAATATTTTCTTTTGTTAAACTTTAACTCAAACGATATTGCATATTATTAATATTTATTGAAATAAATGTATTTTAAAAAAATTGATAAATAAATATAATGCTTAATTACTATTTTAATTAATTTAAAGAATGGCGCCATGGACGAGGTGGTCATCTTACTCTCCAAGATTATGATGTAACAACGAAAACCGTTTGTGGATGGAAAAAATTAAATACACTCGCCCATTATGGTGTGAAAGAAACGGCCATGGTGTCTTTGATTCCTCGTCAACATGATACTTATAACAAAACATTTCTTCAACCTTGCCACGGCTGTAATTACTATTACATTTAAACAATCAAAATTTTATTTGTTAACATATTTACAAAATAAAAATTCTCAATTTTAGGTACATCAGCTTATTATTCGGGTGCAATTATATCGACAAGTAATGGTGGTATTGATTCAGGCAATAGTTCTAATGGTGCTATTTATCACTTAGTCAGACCTTCAGATTCGCAGCAATCCTATCATACGAATAAAATGATCGAAAGAACACATAAAGCTATACCGGAGATTTATTTGACTAGACTTTTGTCAACAAAAGGAACTATTCAAAAATTCGTTGACGATTTCTTTTCAACTATTCTTGCAGCTGATGACACATTACCTCCTGCTGTAAAATGGTTGTTTGATTTATTCGATGAAGCTGCAAGAAAATATGGTATAATTGATCCAGAAGTCGTGCATTCGTGGAAGTCTAACAGGTAATTAAATTTAAATTTATTTTACATAAAATAAAGTTAATATTTTTGGAGATTCTTATAATTCAATAATTAAATTGCAATAATTAAAATTATATATAATATTCTATTTCTTTTGAACATTCATATTACGTTAAGGAAAATGTACTCGTTTTGAAAAATATATTTCTTCCTTATTTTTAATAAATACTGTAGAAATGTGATTGGGGTGTTTATGATCTTAGTTTTCTTTAGAGAAATGATTCTTCTTTAACTAGAAAAATTGATTCGATGCAAAGCTGAAAAGGTATTGATGATTACTATTACTTTTTTTTCCTAATTTATTTAAATTAAAACAATAATAAATTATTGTTTTAGATTGTTATTGAAATTATAACATTAACCTAAATGTGTTGTATTATATATGTGTTGACATAAGTGCTTTAGAAAGCATACTATATTTTTAAACTTTGGTCATCAGTAAAAATAACAGTTTCGAAATTTTTTAGCTTTTTTTGAACCTGGTAAGGTATTGGTTTTACTATGATATGTTTTTTTTTTTTTGTGTCTGTTACCACTTTTACTCAGCTCTCAATAAACTGATTTCTTTCAACAATACGTCAAAAGATCACAAAACGTATCTAGTCGAAGATATTACCCTCAAAAATTAAAAAATTTCCCTTGTTCCCGGTAAATGAGGGAAATCTCCAAAAAAATTACAAATTTAAAAATTGCTAAATTTTTACATTTTTTCAATTTTTTTTACTTAAAACTGCTATAACTTTTTGGAAAATGTATGGATCAATAATTTTTTTTTATAGATGCTTAATGTCTTTATCTATCATTTGGTGTATTTTTTTTATAAATCTGACCCTTTACCCCTACCCACAGGAAGGGATTTAAAATGACTTTTTCACAAAAAATTTACTTTTACACTTAACTTTTGAAAGTGTAAATGACATAGTATTTTACAAACACTGGTTTTATGAAATGCATGGAGTCAGAACAACTTACTCTTTCATAAGAAATCATTGAAAATATTATTGCTATATCAGTAATGACATTTTTAGAATAGTCAAATTTTAATATTACTGCTATAACAGTAATATATGATGTTGTCCATCAACGTGGTGTTAATCAGGATATAAATAAGGAAATATCAGATCATGTAGCTTTTGTAATAATCCACCAATTTTTTAAAATTACATACTATCTAAAGATTTGCATCGAAGCGTTTTTTATGATAGTGATTTTAATCACTGTCAGATATCATTATATTTGACCCAACGACTAAACGTCTACACTGTGCTGGGTTTTTTTTCTTAAAACTACCATAAATTTTTGAAAAATGAATAAATCAACATAATTTCTTTTTATGTTAAAACCTTAGATATTTTCCTTTCATTTGATATCATTTTTTTGAAAATTTATCACTTAACCTGCTCATTTGGAGGGATTTAAAATAGCAACTTTTTTACAAAAACTAACTTTTTCAACTTAACTTTTGAAAATGTTCTGGAAATACTGCATCTTTTAAACATATATCAAATTAAAACTTATATTATGTACTACAAATTGAAAAAAATATTTGTTCCGACATCTTATCTTCTATATGCAAATGGCTGCCGAAATTCAACAAAAAATGTAATATTTGAGATAAAAACCACCTTCTATCGAAATGTTTTTTGTACTTAAAACTCCCATAACTTTTTAAAATATTAACTAATCAAAATAATATTTCTTTATATTGAAACCTTAGGTAATTTCCTTTCATTTGATATCATTTTTTTTTTGAAAATCTGACTAAACAATTTAAGCTTTTTTAATTTAATTTTTGAAAATATTCCGGATATATTGACACTTTTATTTAATCTAAAATGAAAGCCTCTATTATATAATTTATTATGAAAAAAAAAAAAAATTTTAAATATAGATTTTCTTTATGGTAAAAATGTTAATTTTGTGTTAAAAATTCTAGGTTTTGAATTTTATTTTATTTTAAAATATCTTAAAAATAAGGGGAATACACTAATTTTCATGAATATTATATAATTTAATGGACATTAAATTAACTTATAATTTGAATTAGGTTAAATTGCCAATTTTATCAACCGACAAAAGCGATGAACAGTTACCTAATTGGCAACACATGTGTCTTTCATGCTCAGGGTCGAGGTTCGAATCTGCCTGTGGCAATTAATTTTTTATCTCATTTAGATTCAATAACCAATTATTATCGTGGATCCCATTACTGTAGTCTACTCTCGTGAGAAGAAATTTCTTATTCATAATAATATTATTTTACTATGGTTTTATTTGTATCTGCGATTTATTTTCCTAAATGATTACAATTGTGTATTTAGTTGAAGATATTACCCTCAAAATTGAAAAAAAAATCTTTTAATCAAATAAAAATTTGTTTACCAGCTTCCTCTATAGAAACAATTAAAATCATTCATTTCTAATATTTTTAAAATATTTATTTTCGAACTAGATTTGATATGATAAAAATATTCAACTACAAAAGTAAATAATTTTATTTTGTAATTTATTAATTTTTTAACTCTTGTTGTGTGTGCTACTACCAGTCTATAATATTCCAAATTTTTTTGTAACATGTTCCTATATAAATTATAAATCTAAAAAAAAAATGATTTCTAGTTTCATCTGAATTTAACAATGGATTTTTACAATTATATTCAAAATTAATAATACGCTCAATTGAATAGATCTTTTTAACAACTGTTTTTTAATTGATTTTTTTAATAAAAGTAAATCATTAAAATTAATTCAGTTCTATATATTTCAATTGCAGAATCTTTTTAAACACCAAAAGTTAATTAGAAATGATTACTATGATTTCTATTTAAGTGATCTATTACAATATAAAAATGCAAAAAAAAAAAAATTGAACTTTTCTGATAAATTTACTAAGAATAGTAATTATAAAATTTTCTGACTGCATAATAATCTTAACAATATCATTTTTTCTATTTAATGATATCAATTTCAAACTTGAAAGTTGAGCTAAAAGTTATGGCAATAAATTCATTTTTTTTTTTTATTATAAATTTTTACAAAAAAAGTAGGTTAAAAAAAATGATTACTTTTAACATATTAAAAATCAAAATCAATAATAATTTGAAAACGATTAATTATAAAAATTATATAACTAAAAAATTATATATTATATTTTTGAATCTAAGAATTTACTAATCAGGATATAATTAGGGAAATAGAAGTTGATGTTGCTTTTGTAATTATCCACCAATTTCTTACAATGAAACATTATCTACAGATTTGCATCGAAACGTTTCTTATGATAGTGATTTTAATCACTGTCAGATATCATCTATACTTGTCCTAACTAATACAACATCCATACTGTGCCGTGGCTCCACTGTGCTACCGTTTTTTTATTATACTTATTATTATTCAAAGTTTTTCTAAAATAGTTATTAATCAAATTGTATTAAATCTTAAACGTGGTAAATTTTTTTCAGAAATAATAAATATTCATTCTTATAAATATGTACCTTTAGCATGTATAAATTTTTATTTCATTTATCTATGAGTTTCTTTTATTGTTGATCAATGTTTTATTTATTTTTATTATAGTCTTCCATTAAGATTTTGGGTAAATTTCATTAAAAACCCAGATTTTATATTTGATGTCGACAAGACTCCAACAGTAGATTCATGTTTGTCAGTTATTGCTCAAACATTTATGGATTCATGTTCTACATCTGATCACAGACTTGGTAAAGATTCACCTTCAAATAAGCTACTGTTTGCTAAAGACATCCCACAGTATAGAGAGACTGTTTTAAGGTAAGATATTATAAATTATAACTAAACTTAAAAATTGACCCAATTAATTATTATTATAATTTTTTTGAATATGTGTTTACTCCTATCATCTACGAGTATATTTGTTGTATCAATATATATATTAATTAAATTGGTATTAACAATTTGATTTTTTTATTAATATTGCATAATGTCTTGTCACACATTTCAAGATTAAATTATAAACTTTATAATAACAAATTTTTGATAAAATTTTGACAAAAAAACTTAAAATACATTTTATTGCAAAATCCAGGTTTTACAATGAAATTCAAAAACTACCACAAATTACTGACCAAGATTTGAATACAATTATGCAACAATTGTCAGCTTCTCATATGGGGCAATTTCACATAGTATCTGCTTTAAAAGAACTGTATATTTACGCGTCAAAATATCATGATGCTGTGAGTATATTTCAAATTAAAAGTTTCTCATTATGATTATTGTAATAAATATATATACATACAAATTGTTTATATATTTGTATTTTATTTGTATAAATATATACAAAGTATAATTTTTTTTAGATCCTAGACTCCTTAGAAATGGATCCATATTGTAAAAAAATTAACCTCAGTCACAAACTTCACAATGTGTCTGTTACACTCGAAGGCGAAGAAGCAACTATATGCTGACAGTAGACTGATCAATTTACTTGTACTATCCTGTGATAAAGATATTTTAACATGTAAATGTAATTAGGAATTATTATAATTTTATTTTAAGAGTATAATATAAGATAGAAAAAAGAAAAGTATTTCTTGCCGCAAGACAGGTGATATGTAATGATCAAAAAATTGCCCTTGTGAACACTATTTCTTCTTAAATTTTTTTAGGTTGATATATTTATAGTTATTATATTATTATTGTTAAGCCGATCTAAAACAATTTTATTTCACTGATATTATAAATTACGAATGTTGTGTAAGCAACATAAACCCTGAGAACATAAACAAATTTCAGTTTTAGTTTTAGATTTATTATTATCGAGTTGACAAAATTTATGAGTTTTATATTGAACTAAACTAAATTATTCAGATGCTACTTAATTTCACCCTGAAGTTTATTGATGTATTTTTGTTAAATTTTTTATTTAAATTATTAATGTTTATCTGGTAATTTTTTATTTTACCCTATTATTCATAAGGTGTAATTTAAGATCTTATTTATTGTTTCTTTCTATTTTTATAATATAAAATGAATAATTCATTGAATTTTATTAAAATAAAATTGTTTTAAGTTCATATATTATGCTCTTGATTATAACTGTTAAAAAAAATAATCAAATAGTATGTTATTGGTTTTGTGTTCTTATTAACTTGTTTTGTAAAAAAAAAAAAAAATTCTCATTATCTAATTGTCAAATTATTAACTTCTCTGTTCCATATACACAAAAATTGTGCAACAATATTTTAATTCCGTCCTGTGTATTTTGTGCTTTTGGGAAGTTTTTTTTTTTTTTTTTAACTTAACCAATTGTAACATTTTAACTGTTTTTCTGCAGTATTTAATATTGTTGTATATCATTTAAACAAAAAATATTTGAATATCATCTTATGTGGCATGTCACATAAAAGTTGTATTTAAATTGTCTACTTTTGTATTTTGTTCTGCTTGTATCAAATTTCTTATTCTAATCAAATATCTATAATTTATTCAATATAATAAGGGCCTGTGAAATTGTTTTAGAATTATTAAGGTAGCTATTATTCAAACCGTTTACATTAATTTATTGAAATGTTGAAATAATACTCTAACATAATTTCCTATATTTTTCATCAAGTAGATTTACATGTGCTTATAATTTTTTTTCAGTTAATCTGGTCTCATTTTTGTATAACATAAATATATTTAATTTACTGAAAAACGATTATTAGTACATACAAATGGCTGAATAGACTATTGATGTTCACATTTTAAATATAAAATTTTTTATTATTTAGTAGTAAATTATAACTGATAGACATAGCTAATTATAAAATAATAATGATAATAATACAATTTTTTGTATGTTTTCTATACTTTTAATGATATGGCTGCAGAAAATTACAAAGAGTTCAATTACACCTTTGTATTAAAATTTTACCTGGGATCTCTCATGCCTAATTATATAATATATAGCCTATCGTTGAAAAATTTTCGATCTTTATTATTAATCTATTGTACATTTTTAAGCTTCATAATTTTTGTGCCATGGATCCAAAATGTCTAAAACTTCCCTATTTAAGTATTGAAATAGAACAGTATAAATTATATTTATTGTAGTTATTTTATTTGTTTACGATTCATATATTTAAATAGTAATTCGAATTTGTCTAATATGAAAGCCGTTTAAAAAATAATATAGACATTTAAATTATTCAATAATAAATGTCACCAAAGATATTTTGGATCCAATAATCTATTTTAAACTGAGTTGATACCCTCAAGCGTTAGAAATCAAAATTGATTATTCGTTTAGTGTAAAGTGTACAAAACATATTTTGTAAGTTTTAATGTATATGTTGAATAAATACTTGAATTTTTTTTTTATTTATATATGTGTAATGAAATATTTGTATTTAAACAATGTGTATATTACGCTTAAATTGAAATATTTAATTATTAACTATTCTTGCGTGTTCGAAATATTTTCGAGAATAGCTAATATTGTGCATACGAAAAAACTACAAATTTAATAAAAATATTTATTTGTATTATAATTTCGTTTTTATACTGATGAAAAAAAAAAGAAAATGTGTAAAACATGATTGTATTTTATTATCATACGAAAAAAAAAGTTTCCACGGCGATAATTATACGGTGCCGGTTTTTTTCATAAGTGCGGTGGTCGGAGAGTTAAAAATGTTTGTTTTTGTTTCACGCGCCTGGATTTTTCAATGAGTTCACGGTTCAAGGCTTTATACGGTTTGGCGAAGTTTGTCTTGTCCAGTCCGATTTAAAATGTATGTAAAGAGTTGTAAGTTTTAAAAATTAATCTGTCGTCGCGGTGACTGCTTTTGCAGAATCGCAACCGCGACGATTTCTCGAGACACTTGGGTATACGATCGAATTATTAATCTTTAAAAATTTTTGGTACTAGATTTCCTTATTCGTCACAAAGCACCACCGATCAATAATATTCATCGGTACACTAATCCATACCTCGTTCATTTCTTGGGAAGAATTTTTAATATTGCACTTTTCAAATAAAAGCGGTAAGGGACCTTGAAATTTGGATTATTATCAAAATACGTTAAATGCCCCGAGCGTTCCATAGGTCTGCGCGTCGTCTATTATATGATGTCTCCGGAGCAACGAAGAGCGGTGCCGACACGCCAGTGGACTGATCCGTTGTAATAAAAAGAAAGAGGGGACGATGGGAAAGGGGTTAGATTATATGGATTGAGTCAGATTCATTCATATCATCTTAATCCTATCTCTTACCCACTCTATCCTATTTTTTAATATTACATAAATATAGTGCACGTCTTACGACTACACTTGCATTGATATTCAGATGGACCTGCCGATAGATGATGAATTGTGATGTTCCTTGTCGACGTCGTTATATTTAAATACAAATACTGATATGAGGGGCAACATACTGAATCTATTTCTATGGTTTGAAATAATTATTTTAACAAATGTGTAAGACTTATAATTAAGGTTGACAAAAGTAACATGGATTTTACATTATTAACTTAAATATGAAAGAGTATGGGCGAATAATAAGCTGATGTGCTAATTTTCCTAGCCTTTTTATATTAAACTAGTTGGTAAAGTGATGAAGAGAGGCTAGTTTTTCTTAAGAATTTAACTATTTTATCCTGCCGTCTGTTTGGCGCCAAAAATACGCTTATGGTAATTAAAAAGATTGACATTAATGAAAACATCGCTCCGAATGAGCGACATATTTGTAAAAAGTAATAAAAAATTGTCGGTCAGAAAAGTATTTAAAATTGATAATTATTTATGTGGAAAAATTATTCTAGAAGTTTCTCGAATATTCTCGTACCATTTATTTTAATTCATTACACCGTACGTATGCGTTTTTTGTTTTGGCGACCAATTTAGTAAACGGTCAGCTTTACACCTAGGGGGGTGACCCTCCATAGGCGTAAAGCACCCCATATTCATACGTTTCGTATACATGTAATGATTTTCAACGAATACTTTACGATGGGAACTAAGGTTTGGGGTTTTCCGAGCTCAACAAATACAAATAACACGTTCAAAATTATAGTTGACATTTTTTTAAATATATCAGTCTTTAACAGTGCATATTTATATTAAGAAGTAATAAACATTTTGTATGACTTAAAAAGATTTTTACAAATATTAAATGTTTAACTTCATTTAAATACATTTGTTTCGATTGCTTAAATCGCAATAAAATGTAACCGTTTGAAAAAAAAATTCGAATTTGAAAAAAAAGATCATTCGTATGCATCCATCCACTTACTTTACCCAAAATAATACACCCCCTCAACATCATACAATATGCATTAAGATTTTCAGTTTATATTCGGTGATTTTCAAGTGTAAAATATAATTTCTGTATTGTTGTAATTATTTTGATTAAATTTCTTATTAATAATATACAATATCGTTTTATATTAATTTTGGAAAAATACTGTAGATACTAAAAACAAATTCTTGATCCTATTATTATTATAGTATTTTTAGTAGTCTTGAGTATTTTGATAGTTTTTCTCTATATTGAGATAACTAAAATCGACAAACATTATTGTACGTTGTTGAACATTTATCTTGTAAACCAATAATAATATTTTTTAAGTAGAACAAAAATGGAGAGCATCCCTCCTCTTATTTTTTGCCTTCCCGACCACTGATAATAATATAATTGTTAATAGGTAATTTAAGTAAAAAAAATAGCAGTTTAAATTTAGTCATAGCAAACAAGAACTTTCTTTTACGGATATACTATGACTGAAAAAAATATTAAAAAATAAATAAATAGTCTTAAAAAATGAAAAAGGTCTATATTAATTTTCAAACAATTATCTTTAAAAAACTCAGTACCAGATTTATGATCATTAAAAATTGTCTTGAACGTAAAAAAATATTTAACGAGCGAATAAAATATTACAAAAAAAAAAAATTCATATACAATCGGTCATACTAGTTCAGTACGATATTATTGCTCTGAATTATATTTGTTGCGTAATAAACAATCGGCTTCTTGATTACAATTATTTTTAAAAGGATTTTTTGTGAAATACGCATTTAAACCATAAAAATAGTGAAGAGCGAACAGTATTAACAAGACCACGGCTACAATAATGACAATTAAACCCAAACACGAAGACTTCCAATATTTTCTGCACGTACCACTGCTGTTGAGATTTTCACCATCAGTTTTGAAATTGTCAAGTAGAACGACAGCGGTCGACATTAATGACGCATTCAATTTGTGTTCCTAGGCGACAAAAAAAAAAAAAAAATAAGTTTGGAATCATAAGCCCCACGCAGTAAATATGTTTTAGTTTACATTTGAGAATATAAATGAAGTTTATTTCTATTAATTATCTTCACTAACTCTTTAATTTTTTGTTAGTTTATTTTATTTTTTTATCGATTACAGGGGTTTGATTTCTCAAGTTACAAGCAAAAAAAAAAAAATTATGTATATATAATATTTTTAAAGTTATTTAAAAATATTACAGTTATAATAGTATATTTATAAAATAAAATAACTAGCGATTTGTTTAAATTTGTTGAAAATAAACTTTAAAGTGTCTTCGAATAAAATTTATTAAACTGGGTCGACGATAGTTTTCGATGCTTTTGATCAGATTGTCTGTGCACACCTCCGACTAGATCGGTAAAATTTAATAATAATAATTCGTACAAAAAACATCCTACTTTTGTAAAAGTTTCATTTAAGGCGACATCGGATTTTTCAGTTGCTGCACCACTTACTCCACCAGAATTGGCTAAATCGCGATTGCCGCCGAAGAAACACGTGGTGGGTGTGAAGACAAATATCAAACTTAGAAATATTTGTACGTCGATCATTTCAGTGTTGTACTGATGCAAATAGCTATCGACGTCAATCCGTTTTCGACACGAGATTAAATAAATATTATTTTTCGGTATCTAAGCGATAATTGCGTGAATAACAAACGTGTGCAGAAAGACACCCAACGCGAATATTTACTTAGTAGAGCACATTTTAATATTTTTTATTGTCGTTACTGTAATTTTATTTGATAGATTCCGCGATCAGATATTTTTTAAACAAAGGTCTATGTACAAATAAAAAATACCATTTAGGTGACAACCGTCATCTAAAGGATTTCTCTATGGAATTCGTACTCGTGATACTTAAACAAAATAATTGATCGTGTACAGTTAAACCGGATCCGCGAAAGTGTACGTCCATTTCCTCAAACTTTTTCATTTGTTGAAAGAGCGTGGGGAGGGGGTTGCTATGGCAGTGGGGACGATATTCTGGTAAAAAAGTCTCTCGGAGTTGGCTAAAAGTGTCCTGTCTCCATCGGAGTCGTTATCATTGCATTATGTTGTCTTATTTGAAACAAATACCAATTATTAATAAAAACTATACGTTTATTTTATATTTTTATTAGTTGTCGAATGACGAGGCACTGCGGATCGCAGATTCAGAAGGAATATTCATGAAAGCACTGAGAGAGGGAATAGTCATTGGGTAGATGATCGATTCGAATTTACATGGACAGCACAGGATAACAATCGATTTTGAACTCGTCCAAAACAAATACAGTCTTTCGCCAAGTCGAAAACATTAGTTTTTTTAAACGGAAACGCACACGTTTAATTAGTGTAAAAATAAAGGACGGAGTTGGAACGCGGGCTCGTTTGTTTTTATGTATTTCTGGCCCGCTCTTCTGTGGCTAACATAAAATACTTAATATTATATAAAATAATAACGGTTCAAAAGCCATTATCGGTCAAATCATTTTCTTACTTCTTAGCCAGCTACTCGTGTATGTTTTCATTTAGAAAACTTAAGTTTTCTTAAGTGTTTTGATGGAAGCGTTTTTTTATTTGTTGTTACTTAACAACGGCTTATTTGTTGTTTGGGTACACATAATTACTTATAGTAGAAAACACTAGAAATTACTGGAGATCAAAATTGAATAATAATAATAAAAAATTCCATTTCAAAACACATCACACACTTTAGAGAATGGTGGTAGCGACAAAAGCTCCGGTTAAACCAGCAGTGCTTAGTACTACGACGTCCGCGCCGAAAAAAGTAACCAGCGACGACAAAAACGGTCGTGTTGCCACCAAAGAAGATTTCGAATTTTACGCTCGACTGGCTAAACTAATGATTCTCAGGAAGGACAATACGGAAGGTGATGGATAATTTTTTTCGCCCGAGCTCGACTCGGTACGATTAATCGGCAACCCATAATTGCCTCTCCCCCTCCCAAAAAAACCACGAATAATCCATTTTTTTTCGAGACAGTGACATCGAAGTATTCGACGTGGTTAAAATCGCTTAGNAATTTTTTTCGCCCGAGCTCGACTCGGTACGATTAATCGGCAACCCATAATTGCCTCTCCCCCCTCCCAAAAAAACCACGAATAATCCATTTTTTTTCGAGACAGTGACATCGAAGTATTCGACGTGGTTAAAATCGCTTAGGAATCATGAAAACATCAACACCGGAGTGGACTACGTCAGGTTGATGGTGATGGCCTTGCAACATCCGGAACCGGTGTGTCCGTTCAACGATTACCCTCCGGCCGACATCGATCCGTTGGACTGCGATCCGATGGAAAAGGCTAGAAGAATCGTCCGGCAGCACGACGGCGTGTCGTGTGTGCCGCCCTTTTCGAACCCTCCGGTCGTGTCGGCAGTTTCCGAGGACCGACGTCAGTACGCGGCCTACCAGACGGTTCCGAACGCGGGCGTTCAATGTTACTACGTCCGAGCCGACGAGCCGATGAGTGGTTGGAACTTTCCGTCGACTATTTCGAAACCGGACAATCCCATGCACGCCGGCCCGTTGGATTGGGAACGATCGTTGGCCGGTATTTTAAAAAAGCCTCGGTAAACGTCGCCGTTAAAAAAATTGTTCGTAAAAAAACAACTGTTGTTTAAATTGAAAATTCGATACCGTTTCTAGGAGTATTCAGAACGGGACTGAGACGTCACTGGAATCTTTCGTCAATTCGGGTTCGAAGGCCAAGTAGTTAGTATCTAAAACGCGCACGCGTTTATGTAGTAATTTTATTTTTTGTTTTCAACTATACAATTCGAGTTATTTTTTCAGCACGTTCAAAGACTCGACGAACGCTTGCAAAATATTGAACGTGCTTCAGGAGGGTATTGACGTGGGTGACGGCGTTTTTAAGTGGTCCGAGTACAGTCTTCTAACGGGCGACACCATTCCGGGATCAGATTTGTGCATCGACTGGTAAACACACACACGGATTTTGGGCGGGGGCGTGTCGTTCACGTTTTATTAAAGTGTATAAAATTGTTTGTTTTAACGGCATGATCAGGATGGTGCACGAGCACGAAAGGACTCAGCTGGAGATAGACGAGGAAATCATCAATTCGTTTGACAAACTGTATCCGGGAAATTTTCGTTTGTCGGCTTGCCCCGAACTGCTGGAAGGCATTTATCGGAAATTTCAGTGTGCCCAAGAAAACGGTTCGAATTTTTTTATTTATACGGCGCGATCGACTTATCGATGACCACTAGATTTCTCGCAAAATAATAATAATTTTGAAAAAAAATGTTTTCGAATCATTCGAATAGAATTTCATTTTCGATATCTATGTGGTTGAATAGTTTTTACGTCCATCCCTCGTCTCTCATAAGAGACAACGTACACACTCGACTTGTATTCGTATAATAGAAAATGAACCGCCGATAACTTTTCAAAATGTAGTTAAGGAGTAATGAATATTTTTTGTATCCGGTGGAAGGAGTGGCGCGTAATCCCTCGTTTCACATTTACATTTTGAAATGTTAACAAATTCCGAAATACTCGTTTAAAAGTCCTTATCGATCGATCACATTTGTGTGCACCAAAATTATTATTATTTCAGAAGAAATTTAGCGGTCAACATCGATCACAGCCTGTTTTTACAACCCCCCCCCTCACCATCAACAAATTATCGTATCGACGTACACACTTTTGTATATTAATCTGTTGAATTTTATTTTACAAGTTCTGTGGACGGACGACAAGAAAAACGGTACTCCTCCGAGACAGTGCGGCGGCGGCAGCGATCCGGTTCGGCCGTCGATGTGTAGTGAACCGCCGAAAAGAAACAGCCGTTTTTACGGAGACGATTCGATTCCGGGGAGCGAGAAGTTCGACTTGTACACCGTCACGACCACGGCCGGTTACAGTCCGAACCCTTCGGCCGAATCTTTCATTTCGTCGCTGAAAACGTTAAATGCGGCGGACGACGTCGAAAAGTTTGTCTCTACTTGTTAATAATTCGTTGGACGCTAACCGCGCGATTAGTGATTATAACGCGACTAGCAGCGACTTATCGCTATTTGTTACGCTTGTTTCAGTGTATATCCGGACACGGGATCGCCGCTAGAACTGCCTTCGTTTACGGAAGCGGCCAAGTGTTTTGCGGACGTGGCTAACAAAGCTGAAAACACACTAAGAGAAGTAAACACGTGGTTGAAGTATAAAGAGGAGCAACGAAGGAACGATGACCGTTCGCCGTATTAATAGAAAAAAATTATTACTTAGAAAATCGACTTTTTTTTATTTAAATAAAACATTTGGAGATGACCTCCGAGTGTTACGCGTCCACTATCTATTATAAAATCTAATAAATTACGTTTTCGAATCGCTAAAAAAACATACAGTTCATTTTTTAATTTAACGAATTAATTACATAAAATAAAATAATTGTTTAAATTTACATTTATTTTCGTTTGTCTTTTAAAGACAACAATTTAATAATGGTATCTTTGAGGTTTTATTTTGTATTTCACTCAGTTTTGCAATAATAAAAAGAAACGGTTTTTTTTTAAATGGTCATTCGTGTACGCCTCTAACAATTTTAGTATCTAGTTTATTGTACATTCGAACATTTTTTTTCAACGTACAAGTTAAATTATCGAATCGGAATCCATTGTACAAATATTTTACTAAACGAATTCAAAAGTTATTTTTCAAAGTTGTTCACGACTTTGTGATTTTCGCGCGTCTAAGAGAGTTCGAGAGGAGGCGCGTTCGGAAAAAATATGTGGTCTGTGTCTTTACTGCCATCGATGAAGAACGACAGAACGGTCAAATGCAAATAAGACAACTCCTCCTTCATCTTAACGAAATAAGTATAAAAATTGTAGGTGTTCGCTTTCACCAAGTCGGGTTCGTCGGTTTTTCCAGCGGACGAGCCGATTTTGTCGTTCCACTCCACTTCGTAATTTATGTAAGCCCAAGCGCCTTGTTCGGGCGGCCCGCCATTGTATCCGTTGAGGATCGCGTTCACTTGGTCGTCCAGCGAAGCGATGGTTTCTTCGATCGTCGTCGGATCTCCGGTGTTTTCGATCTCGCACAGTCGGTTCAGAACGCTTACCGTGAAAGCATCGTCCGAATAGAGAAAACTCATCATCATCCCGTACAGATATTCCATAAACTCGGAATGCAGAGATCTGACCCGGTCCCGCCGCGAACCGTGCTCTCGCAGCAGGCCGTACAAATGGAACCACACGTAACCGTACAGCTTCACTTTCATGACGGCCAAAAACATCCGATGGTATTCGATGTGCCGGAACGGTCCGGCGATCCACTCTCCGGTCCGGAGCAGGCGTTCGACTTTTTCCCGTTCCGCTCCGAAGGCGCTTCTCGTGTTGGCCCATTCGATCACCACGCCCGGCACGTCCTCGAACACCGCGTCGTCCCAGTCCCACACGCGTTTCAGGTACAAGTTTTGCGGTATGAAAAAATCGCCGTAGTCGTCTATGACGAACTTGTACTTGGCCGCGTAGCGGCACCGGTACCGCTCGACCGCGTCGCTGAAAAAATCGAAAGCGTTTCCTGCCTTGGGGTCGCCGATGTCGCGGTGTCTTCCGTCCGAGTGGTAGTAATCGTTGTGTTCGCACGACGCGATTAATCCGTCCAGGCGACGTTCGGATTCGTCGAACAGGTCGGGTCTTATGAACTTTCTGTTGGCCTTCCAATCGGCGACCGCTACCAGTTTCACGTACAACTCCCACAGCCAGTTATAAATGACGAAATTGCCGTCGAACAGCATGGCCAACATGTGATACACGTAGTTTTTGACGGCCGTCATGTTGGCTTTGGGATGACCGAAATCGTAGAACAGTTTGATTCTGTTCAGGAACGACCTGCCATAAAAGAGCATTCGCCTCAGCAGCACATAACAGGTGCACTGTATTTCTTGCATCTTTCTGTAGTACTTTAACTGCGCGACAACTCTGTCGAACGTCGAACACTCGGCGCTGTCGCTGGACAGCATCGTGATCTCCGCCATGCTGAACTCGGTATGACTATCGTTGATGGTCCGATAAGAATTCAACAAATTAATGAAATTCCTCTTGTAGTACCCGTGCAAATTGTACTCTTCTAGATACGTGACCTAAAAACGATAAACTTTGATTAAATTTTATAAACTGATATCGTTGTTTATTTTGATATCATAATTAAGGAAAAATAAAAGAATAATAATCTCGTAGGAAAATCTTTTATCTATGTCAGTAAAGGCAAGTCGATAATCATCCACTTTTTTTTTAGTTACGACAAAAGCATGAAAAGTTTTTTTTACGAATTACTATTTACACAATGAAAATTCAAATTACTTGTTCTTTTAAAACTTTGTTGTCTTCGTCGTCTTCGATTTCTACTGCTATGGGCATTACGTTCCTCTTAAAGCCTATTATGTTAGCCAAACAATTATTTGGAAAAATACATATAAGAATTGAAGTTAATAAAATTTCAAGTATCATTTTCAAATATTCGATAAAATATAAGCGTAATATATTCAACGTATAAAGAATACCGAAAAAAGGTAATTCCAGCTCGAGTTATACAGCTAAATAGTAAAACCATTCATCGGTATAATTATATTCGTTCAATAATAGAAAAACCTTTGATTTATGACGATTTAAAAAAATGTTGTATTTGTATGACTACTATATACTGAGTCATACGATGTATACTGTTCGATAATTTGTTTAAAAGGTTTTCAGCGTTGTTTGTACACATGTTTTTTGGAAAAATTGAAAATATGATTTTTTGTTTTTGAATGTACACATTACATTACAGTATTTAAAAAATATTTTTCAACAAGAAATTTTAATTTTAAAAATTATTTATGATTTGTGATGTGTTTAAATAAGTGTATTCAAGTACATGTAAGATTCCTCGGACAATGAATACATAACAAAGAGGGGGCCATAAGAGTATCAGATTTAACTTTTACCTATAAAATATATATATAAAGTTATCTCAGATCTATAAATCATAAAAAATGTTTATAAATTTCGATACAATGATTCTTTTTTTTTTGTTTTTAATTTTTTAGCTTCCATGCGAAGTTGAGAAGGTATTAACTTTACCATGTGTTTTTCACTTCAGCTCTCACCGAACCGATTTCTTTCAAAAATACGTCAAAAGATCAAAAATCGTATCTAGTTGGAGACATTACCCTTAAAAATTTGAAAAACTCCCCTCGTTCCCGTTCATGGGGTAAATCTCCAAAAAAATTACAAATTTAAAAATCGATAAATTTTGTCATTTTTTTCACTTTTTTTTCTTAAAACTTCCATAACTTTTTCAAAAATCAACAAATCAACATAATTTTTTTTTATACTAAAACCTTAGATATTTCCCTATCATTTGATATCATTTTTTTTGAAAATCTAACACTTATTCTGCTGACAGGGAAGGATTTAAAATAGTAACTTTTTTTACAAAAACAAACTTTTTCAACTTAACTTTTGAAAATGTTCCGGAAATACTGCGTCCTTTCAACATATATAAAATTAAAGTTTATGTCATGTACTATAAAGTTAAAAAAAAAAAATTTGTCCCAACGACTTATCTTCTATGCGCAAATGGCTACCGTATTAAAAAATATGCTATTTTTGTGTTAAATTCCTTGGTTTTGTATTTTATTTTATTTTAAAATATCTTGTAAGAGTAATACACTGACTTTCATGAATATTATATAATTTAATTGACATAGAATAAAGTCATTCATTTATTCATTTTTCTACTCTATTTGTGTGTGCTACTACTAGACTATAATATTACAAATTTTTTTGTAACATGTTACTATATAAATCATTTCTAAAAAACATGATTGTATTTTCTCTTGAATTAACAATTGATTTTTTCAAATATAATTAAACTTTATAATACGCTCAATGAGTAAATATTTTTAAAACTTTGTTTTGATTGGTTCATTATGTAAAGTAAATCATTAAAATTAATTAAGTTCTAAATATTTCAATTGCAGAATCTTTTTAAACACCAAATGTTATTAGGAAATAATTACTATTATTTCTATTTCAATTATCTATTACGATAAAAATGTAGAAAAATCGAATTTTTCTGATTAATGTACTGAAAATAGTAATTATAAAATTTCCTAATTGCATATTAATCTTAAACATTTCATTTTTTTTTATTAAAACTTTCACTTTATAGGACAAAAAAAAGTGTGTTCAAAATTATTACTTTTAACATATTAAAAATCATTATAAATAATAATTTGAAAACAATTAATTTTAAAAATTGTATAATTTATAATTAAACGGATTACTAATCTGGGTATAATTAAGAAAATAGAAGTTGATGTTGCTTTTGTAATTATCCACCAATTTCTTAGAATTAAACAGTATCTACAGATTTGCATCGAAGCGTTTCTTATGATAGTGATTTTAATCACTGTCAGATTAAATTTATAATGGATCCAACTATGCAACGTTCCTACTATGCCGCGACCCCACTCTGTTGGGTTTTTTTTTATACGTAAATACTCATTTTTTGATAATCAGTAATAATATCAAAACTTATAAGTGATAGAAAAAGTCTAATTTAAGATTTGATATCAGTGTGGAAAGTTGATTTAGAAAAGTATATTTTTGATTCTGATGTAAGTTATTTATTCATAATTAATAAATTATATTACTTTATTATTATTTTTATTTCTCTATAAAAATTACAATATTAAATTGTTAAAGATTAATTTCATACTATATTTAATTTCTATACAAATTATTATCCATAAATTATACTTTTAAATTTAAAAACATTTTTTAAATTAATTTCTTATAATTTTTTTTTAATGTGTTTAAATTAATTCTGATTTGCATAACTTTTTTACATGTGTATGAATAGGTTGACTAAAATAATTAAGTAAATAATAAAGGTTACATTATTATTTACGTAACATAGTATTTTTAAACTAAAAAATATAAAAAAATATTTATGACGGTGATTTTTTATATATGTATTCAATAGTTATTCAGAATATAACACTTGTAATATAAGTAAAAAGAAGACGAAAAAAAATGGAGGTGAGTATTAAATTTTATTTTAATTATTTGATTGAAATCTAAAAGTTTATTTTTTTCTAACAGTGGCAATTAAAATATTTTTGGTTGATAACTTCCTATTTGATATTTAATGAAGGTAAATTTGATAGTATAAATAGTTAAATATGAAGAGTGAATGTGTCAAACGTTCTATGTGCCAAAAAAGTGAAAAATTGTTTTATTTCTGATTAATGTTCTATGTGCCAAAGGCCACAATCTTGTATGTGTTTCTAATGTCAATTAAATTTTTTACTTGTACAAAATTGCATTCATAGATGGTGTTTAATATGTGAGACATGACCATGTTACCATTGTTTTTTGTGTTTTCTGAACAAATATGTTTTTGGCACATAGAACGTTTGACACATTCACTCTTCACATATATATATATAATTAAATACCTTAAAAAAATATACTGCAAATTTCGTGTAACTTTTATAACATTATTAAAATAAATTCTGAGAGTTTCAAGAAAAAAAATTTTATTTGATATTTTTTATGAATTTTAAAGCGTAAACAAATCTGAAACGACATTTGGAATCTTAAAGCTGTAAAATTCTATATAGGATTCATCTAAATATTTAAAATTTTTTTTTTCTTCTCGTGTAGTTATTATGATTTTTTATCGTACAATTTGCTTATAATATTATTGCAATAAAATATTTTGGAATAAATAAATTTTGTAATTGGACATTTACAATTGGACTACACACTTTAACTTTTTTATTTATGCGTAAAAAGTTAACACATATATTATATACGATTTTACAATCGTACGACTCATTAAATACTTTATAAAAATTTTGAGGAAACAATTTTAGCTTCGATGCGAAGCTGAGAAGATATTGGTTTTATTATGTGTTTTTTTTTTGTGTCTGTTACTACTTTCTCTCAGCTCTCACCGAACCGATTTCTTTCAACGATACGTCAAAAGATCACAAATTGTATCTAGTCGAAGACATTACCCTCAAAAATGGAAAAAATTTCCCTCGTTCCCCGTAAATGGAGGAAACCTCCAAAAAAATTACAAATTTAAAAATCGCTAATTTTCGAAATTTTTTCAATTTTTTTTACTAAAAATTGCCGTAACTTTTTTAAAAATGAACATATCAATATAATTTTTTTTTTATAGATGCTTGATGTCTTTACCTATTATTTGGTATATATTTTTTATATATTTGGCCCTTTACCTGCCCACAGGGGGGGGTTTAAAATGACAACTTTTTCAACTTGACTTTTAAAAATGTTCCGTAAGGTCTGACACTTTTATATATATCTTAAATTAAAGATAATGTAATGTACTTTATTATGGGAAAAAAAAATTGACCTCTGGACTTGTCTTCGTGGTGAAAATTGCTACCGAATGCCAATTTTGTGTAAAAATTCTCGATTTTATATTTTACATTTTTAACTTTATAATGCTATAACTTATTGAAAAAAGTATGGATCAACACAATTTTTTTATGAGAAATAATATTTTTTAATAATCTCTTTTTCATTCGACTTTATCTTAATCAGGATATTTATAATGAACTAGCAGATCATGTAACTTTTGGAATAATACACCAATTTTTTAAAATTAAACACTATCTAAAGATTTGCATCGAAGCGTTTATTTTTTATAGTGATTTTAATCACTGTCAGATATCATTATACTTGATCCAACTATGCCACGTCACTACTGTGCCGCGATCCCTCTGTGCTGGGTTCTTTTTAAGTCTAGAAATATAATTATGAAGCTTTAAATAGCTTAAATTGCCATTTTTTTTAGTCGACGGAAGCGACGTACGGATGCTGAGTCGGTAACACTTTTGTCTTACGCGCTTAGGGTACAAAGTTTCAATCCGTGTATGGCAAGGAATTTTTGCATGTTTTTCTTAATTTTTTAAAGTTAGAATAAATGTTCAACTCCTTTGATTTTTATCTCATTTAGATTCAATAACTTCAATAAAGATCAACGATCCCATCACTATAGTCGCCCCTCATGAGAAAAAATTTCTTATTCATATTAAAATTATTTTACTATATTTTAGGTTTTAGTTTTGATGTAAGCTGAGAAGGTATTTTTATGTGACTATCATTTATTTTCTTTGCTCTAACTTTACCTAATTTTTTCAACGATATGTCAAATGATTTCAATTCATATCTAGTTGATGATATTATCCTCAAAAATTGAAAAAAATTCTAATTTATTAATTAAACATTTACGTATCCAATGTTCTCTATACAGACAATTAAAATCATTCATTTCTAATATTTTCAAAGTATTTATTGACTAATCAGTTCCATATGGTAGGTTTCAATTACAAAAATAAATCATTTTACTTTGTAATTTAATATTTTTTTTACTCTATTTGTGTGTGCTACTACTAGACTATAATATTCCAAATTTTTTGGTAACAGGTTATTATATAAATCAATTCTAATAAAAATGATTGTTAGTTTCTCTTGAATTAACAATGGATTTTTAGATCTTTTTAACAATTTTTTGTTTTTATTAGATTTTTAGTTTAAACACCCAAAGTTATCTATTACGATATAAATGCAAAGAAGTTTTCTTGATAAATTTACTATGAATAGTAATTATATAATTTCCTGACTGCATATTAAGTTTAACGATACATTTTTTTAATTCTCATACAATTTCCTAATTAATGATGTCAATTTCAAACTTGCAATTTGAGTTAAAAGTTATGGTAATATATTAAATTTCTTTTTATTATAAACATTCACAAAAATCAAAAAGTCTAATTGCACATTTGAAAACATCGCAAAAAGTTGATTTAGAAAAGTATATTTTTGTTTCTGATGAAAGTTCTTTGTAGCCCAGTGTATAAAATCTATACATTTTTATAAGTAACAAACATTTTTTACTGAAAAGTATTGCATCAAGCCCTTTAAATTTTTATACATGTTAAAAGTAAAGAAATATACTTTAAATAATTGAATATGTGTATTTGAAAAAGGAACGATGAGTAAAGCTGCTACAGTCGGTGACATTAAAACATTAAAATTAGCTTATGAGAGTGGATGTGGTTGGGATGAAAATACGACTACTGAAGCTGCAGCAAATGGACATTTAGAATGTTTAAAATATGCTCATGAAAATGACTGTAGATGGGATAAAACAACAACACAAGCTGCTGCTGCAAATGGACATTTAGAATGTTTAAAATATGCTCACGAGAATGACTGTAGATGNAATTAAACTATTTATCTATGAATTAGATATTTTTTGGTGATCCAAAATTTCATACAGCAAAAATTAATACATTATATATTCGTTTAGGGATTGAACATAGATATTCGAGGGAAGAAAAAATATGTGTATTTGAAAAAGGAACGATGAGTAAAGCTGCTACAGTCGGTGACATTAAAACATTAAAATTAGCTTATGAGAGTGGATGTGGTTGGGATGAAAATACGACTACTGAAGCTGCAGCAAATGGACATTTAGAATGTTTAAAATATGCTCATGAAAATGACTGTAGATGGGATAAAACAACAACACAAGCTGCTGCTGCAAATGGACATTTAGAATGTTTAAAATATGCACATGAAAATGCATGTCAATGGAATGAGAAAACGACACAGGCTGCTGCTGCAAATGGACATTTAGAATGTTTAAAATATGCTCATGAAAATGACTGTAGATGGGATAAAACAACAACACAAGCTGCTGCTGAAAATGGACATTTAGAATGTTTAAAATATGCTCATGAAAATGACTGTAGATGGGATAAAACAACAACACAAGCTGCTGCTGAAAATGGACATTTAGAATGTTTAAAATATGCTCATGAAAATGACTGTAGATGGGATAAAACAACAACACAAGCTGCTGCTGCAAATGGACATTTAGAATGTTTAAAATATGCTCACGAAAATGACTGTAGATGGGATAAAAAAACAACAAAAGCTGCTGCTGCCAATGGACATTTAGAATGTTTAAAATATGCTCATGAAAATAATTGCGTGTGGGATAAAAGTACGACTACAGCTGCTGCGGAAGGCGGCCATTTAGACTGTTTGATATATGCTCACCAATATGGATGTTCGTGGGACGAAGGGACAACTAGTGCTGCTGCTTTTGAAGGTAATCTAGAAATATTAAAATACGCTTACGAAAACAGGTGCCCATGGGACGAAGAAACGACTTTAAATGCTGCTTCAGGAGGTAATTTTGTATGTTTGAAATATGCATACGAAAATGGATGCGAATTGCATGAAACAATAACGGAATTAGCTGCATCCAAGGGTGATTTACATATGTTAAAATATGCATATGAAAACGGAAATGATTGGGCTGAAGGAACAATAGTTTCAGCTGTTCAGAACGGTAATTTAGATTGCTTAATTTATGCCCACCAAAATGGATGTCCGTGGAATGAATATACTATTGGTGTTGCTGCTTTTGAAGGTAATCTAGAAATATTGAAATACGTTCATGAAAACGGATGCAAATGGGATGAAGGGACAACTAAAGAGGCTGCTGAAGGAGGTCATTTAGACTGTTTAATATATGCTCATAAAAACGGATGCGAATGGGATGAAGGAACAACTAAAGAGGCTGCTAAAGGCGGCCATTTAGATTGCTTAATGTATGCTCACGAAAACGGATGCGAATGGGATGAAGGGACAACTAAAGAGGCTGCAAGAGGAGGTCATTTAGACTGTTTAATATATGCTCATAAAAACGGATGCGAATGGGATGAAGGAACAACTAAAGAGGCTGCTAAAGGCGGCCATTTAGATTGCTTAATGTATGCTCACGAAAACGGATGCGAATGGGATGAAGGGACAACTAAAGAGGCTGCAAGAGGAGGTCATTTAGACTGTTTAATATATGCTCATAAAAACGGATGCGAATGGGATGAAGGAACAACTAAAAAGGCTGCTAAAGGCGGCCATTTAGATTGCTTAATGTATGCTCATAAAAACGGATGCGAATGGGATGAAGGAACAACTAAAGAGGCTGCTAAAGGCGGCCATTTAGATTGCTTAATGTATGCTCACGAAAACGGATGCGAATGGGATGAAGGGACAACTAAAGAGGCTGCTGAAGGAGGTCATTTAGACTGTTTAATATATGCTCATAAAAACGGATGCGAATGGGATGAAGGGACAACTAAAGAGGCTGCTAAAGGAGGCCATTTAGACTGTTTAATATATGCTCATAAAAACGGATGCGAATGGGATGAAGGGACAACTAAAGAGGCTGCAAGAGGAGGCTATTTAGACTGTTTAACATATGCACACGAAAATGGATGCGAATGGGACGAAATGATAACGAACCTAGCTGCTCTTAATGGTGATTTAAAAATGTTAAAATACGCTCATGAAAACGGATGTAATTGGGCTGAACGTACAATAGCTGTAGCTGCCTTATGCGGGCATTTAGACTGCTTAACATATGCTCATCAAAATGGATGCAAGTGGGACGATTGCACGACTATATACGCTGCACAAGGCGGTCATTTAGACTGCTTAAAATATGCTCATGAAAATGGATGTAAATGGAATGAAATGACAACAGCGGTAGCTGCTCGTAACGGCAGTTTGGAATGTTTAAAATATGCTCATGAAAATGGATCTAATTGGGCCGAAGGTACAATAATGATATCTGTTTCATACGGCTATTTAGACTGCTTAAAATATGCTTATGAAAACGGATGTAAGTGGGATGAAGGAACGACGAGAGTTGCTGCAGAAGGCGGATATTTGGACTGCTTAAAATATGCTCATGAAAATAAATGTCCATGGGATGTAAACACAACAAAAGCGGCTGCAGATTATAGTAATTTAGAATGTTTAATATATGCACATGAAAATGGATGCGAATGGAATGAAGCGATAACGAAACGAGCTGCTCTTAATGGTGATTTAAAAATCTTTAAATATGCCCACGAAAATGGACATCCTATAGACGAAGACACATATAGAGTTGTCGTTTTAAAAGGTAAGTTAGAAATATTGGAATATGTTCACGAAAACGGATATAAATGGGATAAAAAAACAACAATGTTATTAGCTGCTAACGGGCATTTAGAATGTTTAAAATACGCTCATGAAAAAGGTTACGAATGGGACGAAAGTACAATAGTTATAGCAGCTTTGCATGGTAAATTAAATTGCCTAAAATTTGCCTGCAAACACGGATGTATTTGGGTCGAAGGTACGACGAGAGCGGCCGCTTCGAATGGACATTTAGACTGTCTAAAATATGCCTCTAACAATGGTTGTGGATGGGATGAAGGAACCACGAGAGAAGCTGCGGCAAGTGGTTCCATTGGTTGTTTGATATTTGCTCGTGAAAACGGTTGTGAATGGAGTGATGGTACAAGAGGTACAGCCATGCTGCATGATCATTTATATTGCTTTAAATATGCTCAAGAAAATGGTTGTCCTAATTAGTTTTTATTGTAATTATTATTATTATTATTTTTTTTATTCATTCATATGTAATCTACATTTTATTTTAAATAAATTGTTTTAATATCATTGATGGTAAAAAAAATAAATATGTTTATTTTTGTACTAATTTTTGATAATCTATGATAAATTGGCACCGCGTGCATGTAAAATTAATGTGTATATAAAATACTTTTTGATGAAAATACTGATCCTAATGAAATCTATATCCCCTATCTACAGGGATATAAAATTTCCTATTTAAAGGTATAAATTCTTAACTTGCATGTTAAGCTAAAATTGTGTTTTAAGTTCAACATTTTTAAATTATAATCTTTCATAAATATCAACTTAAAAGATCAAAAAATAAGTTGAAAATGTCATTTTTAATTGAAATTTTGCAGGAATTATTTTTCTCATATATTGGTCAAGTGAGAGCTGAGAAAAATTATTGACAAACACAAAAATAAGCCATATAGTATTATATATTAATATGATTAAGACAGTCCTTCTCACAAGGAGACTATTAATGAATATTATCAATATTATTTATTATTATTCATTTTTATATTTTATTTTTTTTTTTTTTTAGTGTTTTTTCCACGTCATAAAAGAAATACAAAAAAAAACCCAGCACAGGGGGGTTGCGGCACAGTTGTGACGTGGTATAGTTGGATCAAGTATAATGATATCTGACAGTGATTAAAATCACTATCAAAAATAAACGCTTCGATGCAAATCTTTAGATAGTGTTTAATTTAAAAAAAATTGGTGTTTTATTCCAAAAGCTACTTGATCTGCTGGTTCCTTATTAATATCTCGATAAAGATAAAGTATGTCAAATGAAAAAGGGTTTATAAAAAAATTCTATTTCTCATAAAAAAATTGTGTGAATCTATAAACTTTTCAATGAGTTATAGCATTATAAAGTTTAATAATATATAAATAATAAAATCGTCCAGAGGTCAAATTTTTTTTTTCAAATTAAAGTGCATTACATTAGCTTTAATTTAAGATATATATAAAAGTGTCAGACCTTCCGGAACATTTTCAAAAGTTAAGTTGAAAAAGTTAATTTTTTGTGAAAAAGTTGTCATTTTAAATCCCCCCCTGTGGGCAGATAAAGTGTCAGATTTACAAAAAAAATATACCAAATGATAAGTAAAGACATCAAACATCTATATAAAAAAGAATTATATTGATATGTTCATTTTTGAAAAAGTTACGGCAGTTTTTAGTAAAAAAAATTGAAAAAATTTCTAAAATTAGCGATTTTTAAATTTGTAATTTTTTTGGAGGTTTCCCCCATTTACGGGGAACGAGGGAAATTTTTTCAATTTTGAAGGGTAATGTCTTCGACTAGATACAATTTGTGATCTTTTGATGTATCGTTGAAAGAAATCCGTTCGGTGAGAGCTGAGAAAAAGTGGTAACAGACAAAAAAAAAAAAAACACATCATAGTAAAATAATACCTTCTCAGCTTCGCATCGAAGCTAAAAAACCCAGCACAGGGGGGTCGCGGCACAGTTGTGACGTGGTATAGTTGGATCAAGTATCTGTGATTAAAATCACATAACAATATAAATTATTTTGATATAGATGCTTGATGTCTTTACTTATTAATTTTTTATTTTTGTTAATTTTTTGTGAAAAAGTTATCATTTTAAATCCCCCCCTGTGGGCAGGTTAAATGTCAGATTTACAAAAAAAATATACCAAATGATAAGTAAAGACATCAACCATCTATATAAAAAAAATTATATTGATATGTTCATTTTTGAAAAAGTTAGAGCATTATTAAGTTAAAAATATAAAAAAAAATATTTTACAAAAATCGTAATTTTTTATAACCATGATGTCAACTTTCACCACGAAGACAAGTCCAGAGGTCAAATTTTTTTTTTTCAAATTAAAGTATATTACATTAGCTTTAATTTAAGATATATATAAAAGTGTCAGACTTTCTGGAACACTTTCAAAAGTTAAGTTGAAAAAGTTCTACTTTCTATATGCATTTTTTATATTTGAAGCCCCCCCATATATAGGGAAATAGTCTGATTTAAAAAAAAAGTATATCCAATGAAAGATGTATATAAATACTACTTCTAATGAAAAAATTGTATTGATCCATACATTTTTCAAAAAGTTATAGCATAATAAAGTTAAAAATGTAAAATACAAAATTGAAAATTTTCACACAAAAATGGCATTCGGTAGCCATTTTCACCATGAAGATAAAATAAAGTCCGAAATATTTTTTCCATGATAAAGTATATTACATTAGCTTTAATTTAAGATATTTATAAAAGTGTCAGACTTTCCGGAACATTTTCAAAAGTCAAGTTGAAAAAGTTAATTTTTTATGAAATGTTGTCATTTTTAATCCCCCCTTTTGGGTAGGTAAAGGGTCAGATTTATAAAAAACATATACCAAATGATAGTTAATCATATCATGCATCTATATAAATTAAAATTATATTGATTTAATTATTTTTAAAAAAGTTATGGCAATTTTAAGTAAAAAAATTGAATAAATTTCGAAAATTAGCGATTATTAAATTTGTAATTTTTTTGGAGGTTTCCCCCATTTACGGGGAACGAGGGAAATTTTTTCAATTTTTGAGGAAAATGTCCTCGACTAGATACGATTTGTGATCTTTTGACGTATCATTGAAAGAAATCGATTTGGTGAGAGCTGAGAAAAAGTGGTAACGGACAAAAAAAAACACATCATAGTAAAACCAATACCTTCTCAGCTTCGCATCGAAGCTAAAATACACGAGTTCATTGAAGATAAGCACGGCGGGTATACCTCCCAAGTAAGCGATTGTTTTTAAACAGTTTGACTTAGCTTGCAAAAAAAAAATTTAATAAAAAAATTCGCCACATGTGCTTTTGGCACGGCGCACTAGAAAAAATACTCTTGCCCAAAACATTAAAAAAAAAAATTTATACATTACCAGCCCTAAAGACACCGGAGGTAGGTTTAGCCGACGCCAATAAACGAAAAAAGAATTACATTAAAAATTATAGTAGGGGTTAACTAATTTTACTACTCAGTGACGGAAATTATTAAGAAAAATGCGAAACATAAGGCGACAATGTAGTTGGTGAGAAGTGCAAATGATGTTCATGATAGGAAAGGAGCGGGGTGAATGCGCACAAATGCTGTCCATGAACCGGTCCAAAGTAGTACACAGCTGACTATCTAGCACGCGCACAAACAAATACAACACCTTATCATGATTATTTAACTGTTAAAGCCGTCGAAGCACGCATTTGGCTCAATCAAGATAATTTAGAACATACACACATATACAGAGTGATTTTTTTATCATAACCCACTCAATTACTTACAGAATAATAATAATAATAATTTATAATTTTTTTTTTATTACTATCTTTAGTTACACATTATTCTTGAATTATTAACTATGTAATACTTTTTAAGTTCATCCCTTATGCCTGGTAAGGGTGTCAACTTTGTTTTTTTAAATGGTAACACATATTTTTAATTTAATAAAATGTTTGAGTTTTTAATTCAATAGTAAATGGCATTTGAATTTTTAATAAAACTTAATTTGTTTATTAGATATAAACATTTAAAGTTTCAAATTTTTGAGTTAATATATAGGTATAATACACAAGGGATTACAAATACAGGTAGCTAAATGGTTTTTTATGATATTGCTATCACAGTCACGGATTGTTTATTATCAATTATGACTACCAATAGATATACTTTTTGTATTGTCAGTTAGTGTATTTATAAACTCANCTGTATATATATATATATATATATACTTATATTTTTTTTGTGATTCAAGAGTACAATAAATATGTTTTATATTATATTTTTAACAATGGGTACAAAACCTATTTAATTAATTGTTTTATGTTTAAAATATTTTTACATTAATTAATAAATTTAATTTTTTATTATTTGAATTTATTTGAATAAATATAACTATTTTAATATAACTAAAGATAATAAAAAAAAAAAATGTTATCTAAATAACATTTTATACTTTTTTTTTTTTAATCAATTTTTACAATATAGAACTATATTTAAAATGTGTTTTATGTTATTTTTAGCAATTACAAAAAATATTTTAAAAATTAATTTTTTTATTAAAATTTTTTTTAAGATTTTAAGCTAGCCATTTTATAGATAGGATTTAAAGAAAAATTTTTGATACCAAAAACTCTTATTTTACTTCAGTAGTTACGTTTATACAGCATTTTAAAGTTTGTTAAATTTTGATTTTTTTTTACAATTTTCCTATTGTATCAAATGTTAGTCCATATTATGTAAAGTACAGAAATAAACACTTATTACATTATTTACTGGTAACAATACGCGATTTCTTTTCCATTGATAATAATAACGTTTAACGCGCTTTATATAGAAATCACAGAGATAATGAGAAATCTTTAATCTTTATTAAAAAAGTTAGAAACAATATCGTATGTCAACTACGAGTGTTCCGTGGTTGACCAAGTTAAAAGTGATAACAATTATTAATTTGCGTGATTCTATCATTGTAATCATATTATTATAGGATATTCCTTGTTAGGAGATTTGATAATAAATGCACTTATTCACTATTATTCACGTTTCAATTTATGATATATGAACTTATTTAATTAAAATTCAACTATCGTTTATTTTCTTTGCTCTAATTTGACGTATTTTTTTCAACAATACGTCAAATGATTACAATTAGTTGAAGATATTACCTCAAAAATTGAAAAAAAATTCTAATTTATCAATTAAACAGTTACTTATCCCATGTTCTCCAAACAGACAATTAAAATCATTCATTTCTAATGTTTTCAAAGTATTTATTGTTGAATCAAGTTTGATATGATAGGTTTCAACAACAAAATTAAATAATATTACTTTGTAATTTAATAATTTTTTTACTCTATTTGTGTGTGCTACTACTAAACTAAAATATTTTAAATTTTTTGGTAACATATTGCCATATAAATCATTTCTAAAAAAAATGATTGTAAGTTTCACTTGAATTAATAATGGATTTTTACAATTATAATCAAATTTTTTAATACGCTCAATTGAATAATTTTTTTTAACAACCTTTCATTAATTGGTTTTTTAGTTAAAGTAAATCATTAAAATTAATTAACTTCTGAATATTTCAATTGTAAAATTTTTTTAAACACCAAAAGTTACTAGGAAATAATTATTATTATTTCTATTTCAGTTAAATATTACGTTAAATATGCAAAAAAATATTGAGCTCTGATAAATTTCCTGTAAATAGTAATTATAAAACTTTCTGAGTGCATATTAATCTTAACGATACAATTTTTTTAATTTTCATAAAATTTTCTATTTAATTATATTTAATTTTTTTTTTATTATAAACTTTCACTCAAATCAACTTTAAAGTATTATAAAAATAGGTTAAACATGTCATTTTCCTTATTTTTTACATATTAATAATCAAAATCATTATTAATTTAAAACAATGTTTTTCATATGTAAATACTTATTTTTTAATAATAAGTAATAATTATAAAACATAGAAGTGATAAAAAAAGTCTAATTGCACATTTAAAACATTGCAAAAAGTTGATTTAGAAAAGTATATTAGTGTTTCTGTTTAAAGTTCCTTGTAGTCTAGTGTATACAGATTATAACTTTGTTATAAGTAATAAACATTTTTTACTAAAAAGTATTCCATCAAGCCCTTTAAATTTTTATACGCGTTAAAAGTATATAAATATACAGATACTTTATTATTTTTATAATATTTCCATAAAAATTACAATATTACATTATTGAATATAAATTTAATACTAAATTTAATTACTATTTATTCATATATTATAATTATAAATCGGGATAAAATTAAGGGAATAAGAGTTATGGTTGCTTTTTAAATAATCTACCAATCTCTTAAAATTAAACACTATCTACAGATTTGCATCGAAGCGTTTCTTATGATAGTGATTTTAATCACTGTCAGATATCATCTATACTTGTCCAAACTATACCACGACACCACTGTGCTACCGTTTGTTTATTGTATAAAAATATATTTTACTAGAATGTATTAAATTTAATGTAGTTTCTTCACTAATAACTTTGGCCAATTTCTTTAATAATCATATTTATATATTTTAATCCTAGAGAAAATTTTACTGTTACTATTTTTCCTAATTTAATTGAATTTAAAACAATAATAAATTATTGTTTTAACTTGTTATTGAAATTATAACATTAACCTAAATGCACCGTATTATATATGTGTTGACATATGTGCTTTCTAAAGCATACTATATTTTTAAACTTTGATCAGTAAAAATAATAGTTTCGAAAATTTTTATTATTTTGAGTAATACATTTTAATCATACGACAATGTAAAAATGTAAAGGTATTTATTTTTATACAATAAATTTTAATTAATGAAACCAATTTATTTACATACAACAACTATAACTTTTTTTTTAAGAAAAAGACACAAAATTGTGTACATATATCTTATTGATTACTTTGCATTCAATTATATTAAAATTTTATTCTATTGTGCTCATTATAATGGTTGTGGATGGGATAAAGGCACAAAAAGGGAATCCGCTGCGAAAGGTTCCATTAACTGTTTGATATTTTTTGTGAAAACGGTTGTGAATAGAATGAAGGTACAGAAGTACAGCCTATCGGCATGGTCATTTAGAATGCTTAATTTATGCTCTTAATTAGTTTTCTGTTGCCTTTATTATTATTTTTATATTCATTTATGTTGACTATTTATATTTTATTAATTTTATATTAAGTCTATAAATAAATAGACTTTATTTACGTTGTTTTAATTTGATGAAACACATAATAATCATTATGGGTACCTTTCAACTAAACAAAAAAATATTTAGTGTTTTAAAATAAATACAATTTTAATTAAAAACAATATAAAAAATATTTAACTCGGCATAAAATGTTACTAATAAATCGCGAATATGTATTTTTTATGGTAAAAGAAATTTATTTATTTATATGTCTTTTTTTTCTCTAATTAAATTTAGTTAATAATTTTAAGAAAATTAATATATAAGACTTTTATAATTCAATCCCAGACAAAATTTTACTATTACCTTTTTCCTTATTTATTTGAAATTTTAAAAAACTATAAACTATTGTTTTAGATGGTTATTAAAATTTTAATGTTAACCTAACTGTGTTGAAACACGAGTTTTCTAAAGCATACTGTATTTTTTATTTTTTGTCAACAGAAATAATAATAGTATTGAAAAATGTTTTTCTTTTGAATAATATATTTTCGACATATGACATCAAAGAGTAGATCATATTTTTGCATCTATAATTGTTACAATTCTTATAATCGAGTAAAAATAAATTTTAATCAATAAAACCACCAATTTAATAAAATTAAATAGACATAAATTTATTTATTTTTTTAAGAAAGCATAAATTAAATTTGTACTTACCTCGTGTTAGTTTGTACATACTTTCGGGATCTAGGTAAGAAATTAATATTTCAATACTTGCCTCAAAATGATTAATAGTAGTCACAGTCCGCTAGAATGCCGTTGTCTAGAATTAGTAACACTCCGATAACTCCGATAACTCCGATAACTATTGTAAATCGTTCTCAAATAATCAGCAATACAAAAGACAAACAAAAAACCACTACTGCCGAGTCCGATGACGATAAAATTGTTCTACCTGGTTTTATATACAATTCTCAAGAAAAAAAAACACTAAAAATTAATTTTTGAGCCATCCCAAGCTATTTGAAAATTTTTAACTTAAAAAAAAAATAAAATAATAATGAAAACTATTTTATGTATACGTTCTTATATTTTTTTATCAATAAGTCAAGCTATATTATATAAATCATTTTTAACATTTCTAATTTTACTTACTAAAGAATTAAAAAATTATATAAAAGTTGAATTGCTTTTTTTTAAAGTGTGTTTGCTGCAATCATGGTAAATCTTCCGATGCTCAGAAACTACTTGTAAGAGAAACTGAAGTTTATCCTCATTATGGGTAATTTTGCGATTAAGGTCTTGGATCAATGAAACTCCTCTTTCTGCCACGTCATTGGTAACTCGAAGATTCTTAAAAACTTCCTCTGCTTTTAAGTAGCTTTTAGACTTGGTCCAGTTTACCACGTCATTTTTCAAAAATTCATCGACACCAAAT